CTAGGTCTTGTTTTTGAGGTGCCCACTGTGGACAGAAAGAGGAAGCAGTGTGGGTACAGTACCATAAGTTACTTTTGAGAGGAGGGAGGTGTGTGTGTGTGTGTGTGTGTGTGTGTGTGTGTGTGTGTATGTGTATACTTTTAATTGTAGTGCATTGTTGTCACCATCCTATTATACTTTTAGTCATCTTCATCATCGTTATTATTATTTTAGAGCAAAGAGAATCCTCTGTATTGTGACTGATTTAAAGGAAAAAAAAACTTGCTTCTCACTGAGCGCTGGTGGCTCACACCTGCCATCCTACTCAGAAGGCTGGGATCTGAAGATCGTGGTTCAAAGCCAGCCCCAGGCAGGAAAGTCCATGAGACTCTTTTCTCCAATGAACCACCAGAAAACCAGAAATGGAACTGTGATGCAAAATGGTAGAGCTCTTGCCTTGAGCCAAAGAGCTAAGTGATGGTGACCAGGCCCTGAGTTCAAGCCTCAGGACCGGCAAAAACAAAAAACAACCACCAAAACCAAAAATAGGCTTCTCATATTTTTGAATACAATGGCTACTTCTTTTTAAAAAATTTGAGTAGTTGTATAGGGGGGGGGGGGGTTGAATTCCACAAGACAGATTATGAGTTCGATAGGTCTTGATGGATGTCACCCCTCCCAGCGCTCCTCCTCAGCTTTGGGCCAGTACTCTCTTCTTAGCTTTTCTAACCTTAGGTCTGCAAACAAGAGAGGCCTGCCTGTCTCTGCCCAGCTGGTTAGAGCAGGCATTGACGGAGTAGGGGTGGGGCATGAGAGGAATGAATGGGTCGTTCACAAAGGGAGATCTTGGAAAGTTGGAGAACCAACAGTGTGCATCGTCTAGGATGGGTCAGGGGTGTGTGTGTGTGTAGGGCAGGGGGGATGTACTTTCTAAGCTGGGTATCGGCAGGTACTAAAGCCAAAATCTTCCTCAGTGTAGAACCTAAAGGAGGATTTACATCTCTCTGGGCCCACTATCCTTAGTTGCCTTCTATAAGCTGCCCAGGGGCTGGCATGTGTGTGGTTTAAATAGTAGAGCACCTGCCTAATGTATGCCAGGCCCTGAGTGCAATCCTTAAGTTGGACAGGGAAAATAAAACAAACTATAGGGGAGGCCCCTGTATTGGGTAGGGGGTGAGGTGAGTGTTGAATCTCCCTAAACAGTGTGTGTGTGTGTGTGTGTGTGTGTGTGTGTGTGTGTGTGTGTGTGTGTGTGTGTGAGGGAGAGAGAGATGGGGAAAATTAGAAAGGATTGGGAAGCTGTTCGGTGTTCTTATTGTTTAGGTAGCTACTCTATTGTGATCCTGTTTTAAGCAATTATGTGGGCCAAATCTTATTTTCCTGAGTCACAGATAATCCTTCTTTGCTGGGAGGGAATGAGACGTGGTTAACTGCACATAAGAGTCATGGACTTTCCTGCCCAGGCTGGCTTTGAACCGCGATCCTCAGATCTCAGCCTCCTGAGTAAGCTAGGATGACAGGCGCCCGGCTTCTATGTCTTTGACTCTTGGCTCCCACACTCCTTAGTATCAGGGAAGGAGATAACGTACCCCGGTTTGCAAGGCCCCAAAGCAACTTGAGATGGCTGTGCAGGTAGGGAAACAGATGGTTCTCTGGGACCCCATGGGTTTGCTTCGGGCTGAGGGGAACCAAGAGCAAGTGTGGCTGAGTAGGGATGAATCACAGGGTCCTGAGAGCTCACGGGGTTGTAAGGAAGGAAGGGTGTGCAAGCTGCATCTGGGGCTTCGGGGAGGGGAAGGGAAGCTAGGAGTTAAGCATGAGGTAATACAGGCTTATAGCGACTGTGCACATGGTAGGTGTACAGCACACATTAGGTCTACATCTTTTTGTTGCTGATGGTGGTGGTTGGTTGTGGGACTTGAAACTCAAGGCCTGAGCACCATCCCTGAGCATGTTTTGCTCAAAGCTAGCGCTCTACCACTTTGAGCCACAACACCATTTCCAGTTTTCTGAGTGGTTCATTGGAGATCAGAGTCTCACGGGCTTTCCTGCCCAGGCTGGCTTTGAACCACGATCCTCAGAGCTCAGCCTCCTGAGTAGCTGGGATGATAGGTGTGAGCCACTGGCTCCCGGCTTCTTGCCTCTACTTTCTGAAGGTGTGAACCCCGCCCCCACACACACCTCCAGAAAATAAAAACGAGAGGTAGGCCATGGAGTGAGTCTAGGAAGGGAAACTGAGGCTGGATTTTTTTTTTTTCCAGTCATGGGGCCTGAACTCTGGGCCTGGGCGCTGTCCCTCAGCTCTTCAGCTCAAGGCTAGCGCTCTACCACTGGAGCCAAGCACCACTTCCAGCTTTTTTTTGCTTATGTGGTACTGAGGAATCGAACCCAGGGCCTCATGCATGCAAGGCAAGCGCTCTACCACTGAGCCACCTTCCCAGCTCTGAGGCTGGATTTCTAATCCCCCCGCCAACCCGTCTACCCCAGTCAATATGTTTAGTGTCCAGCAAGCTTCTGTATCTCCAGCAGCCATAGAGCTTTGATGATATTATCTGGCCCTTCCTGTGTTTCCCGGGGAAGGGGGGGGTCATCTCAGGTACCTGCCGCCATCTTTGATCTATGGTTGAAGCTGGGAGGTGGGGGGTGCTGATAGGAGGATTATTTCAGATTCCCCATCTCTGGCTTCTTTCTTGCTCTCTCTGTCATCCAAAGGGACAGTGCTGGACTGAAGGTCCACCGCCCATCAGCGGCAGGTTCAAGGTCTCCCAACCTCCTCTACCGTCAACCTCTCTTCTTCCAAGCATGCGGGCGGGAGTTGCTGACTCTGTAGCTTTGATCAGGGCTGGGCTTGCGGGATTCACTGGGCCTGTGCCCACCAATCAGCAGTGCCCAATGAAGAGGGGAGAGGGACTCTCCACTGATGCCCAAAGTCCTGGGCCAGCCCAGCCACACCTGGACGGCGGCTCTCCCTCTTCCTTCCTCTCCCCTGTGCCCCAGCCTGTCTGTCTAGCTTTGCTGGGTCCCCAAGTAAGGTTCTCTCTGGCAGAGGGAATTAACACACTTAATTAAAGTGCCCAATGAAGAGCTTTTTTTGACTAGTTCTTAATTACCGTCGGAGTCTTTAGGGGGACAGTTGGAAATGGGATTTTTTTTTTACATATTCATTCAGCCGGCAGCGAGTCAGTTAGGCTCTGGGAATGACTGTCAGGAAGGAAGGGGTTGCGGTTTTCTTCGCCGGCCGCTGGTGGCTCACGCCTGTCATCCTAGCCACTCAGGAGGCTGCCATCTGGAGACTGAGCTACCCCGGCTGGGCCAGTCCCTGGGATTATTAGGCTGGGGTTGGAGCAGGGAAGAAGCAGATCTGCGGGCCAGAGGTGGCGTCTAGCTGAGAGGAGGCTGGGTATCCAGAGGAGGCTGGTAAAGGGCATAGAACCCACCCCCACCCCCGCTCCCCCCAAGTGAGACTCCAGGTATACTCACAGGTTGGGAAAGGATTAAAGGAAGCAAATAAAAGAATGTGCTTCAGGGAAAGTAAGCTTAGCCTTTTTTTTTTTTTCCACCGTGAGATTGGATGGTTATTGGAAATCAGCTTTTTTTGTTTTGTTTTTGTTTTTCCTGGACACAACACTGGTGTTTATTCTGTGGTCTGCTCACTCTAAAGATGACTTTTTTTTAGCCGGGCCCTGGTGGCTCACGCCTGTCATCCTAGCTACTCGGGAGGCTGAGAACGGAGGAGGATCACAGTTTGAGGCCACAGGGCATGAAAGTCCACAAGAATCCCACTTGGGTGGGGATTTCTCCACCATAGCCAGGCCGTTGTCTCCAGTTACTCTTGATGAACATTTTTTTCTGTTGTCGTCGGTCATGGGGCTTGAACTCAGGGCCTGGGCGCTGTCCCTCAGCTCTTCAGCTCAAGGTGAGCGCTCTCCTGCTTGAGCCACAGCGCCACTTCCTGGTGGCTTATTGGCTAATAAGAGTCTCACGGACTTTCCTGCCTGGGGTTGGCTTTGAACCAGAAGAGAAGGAACAAGGTGGGGGGGGGAGGTGTGTGCACTTGAGAAGAGGTTAGCCTAGAGCAGTGTGATCTGCACAACTCCATCTTGACTTCTGCCTTGGTCACGTGACCACGTGTCACCTGTCTCCCACCACAAGGCTCTCCCCTCCTGTAGGGAAAGCCCAGAGGTGCATTAGGGATGGATGGCTACCTCCCCTGGCGGAAAGCGGGCGAGGGCAGAGTGGATAGATCTCAGCTTACTTGAGCCACACCTCCACCTCCCACAAGGCCAGTCCTGGGACTTGAACTCAAGGCCTAGGCACTGTCCCCGAGACTCTTTTTGCTCCAGGTGAGCGCTCTACCACTTGAGCCACAGCGCCACTTCCAGCTCTTTCTGTGTATGTGGTATACTGAGGAATCGAACCCAGGGCTTCAGGCATGCAAGGTGAGCGTTGTACCGCTGAGCCACCTTCCCAGCCCCTTTCCCCCCTCTTTTGCTTGGGACTGGTCTCAAACTAGCATCTTTTTACCTAGGCCACTCACATAGCTGGGAGGACCCCTGGGAGCCGCTTAGCTTTTGTTGTTAGAGGGTTTCGAGAGCTTTTTTGGTCTTGAACTGCAGTCCTTCCGGTCTGATCTCCGTCTCCTGAGTTGGCTGGGATTAGAGGCGTACACCACCACACTCGACCTTCCTAGTCACTGGCTCTGAATCCTCGTGCGGAATTTTGTCACCGGGTCGGGGAAGATGTGGATTTGGGTGTTGGGAATTCACGGGGACTGTAGGAAGTCTTCTCAGTGGCGGCCTGACACCTGGGCTGGAACTCCTTCAACCCCACCTGACAGGAACCTGGCCTTAAGACTCCTTCCTGGGTGGGTTTAGGGGAGGGAGGAGAGGTATTGGTATTTTCTCCAGATTATTCCCCCCATCATGCCTGTTTTCTTCCAATGCAGTGTTTTCAGCAGACCTCCGACTGTTGAACCACTCACCCACACCCGCACTGAGACAAACTCTCTTCTTGTTTTGCAGTCGGGAAGACATCTCTGATCACGAGGTTCATGTATGACAGCTTTGACAACACATACCAGGTGCGGTTCTGGGTTCAGGGAGGGAAAGGGGAGGGGGCTTACCCCTCATCCTGCCCACACCCACAGAAGCTTCCTAAGGCAACTGCTGGCCTCTCTCCAGGGCTGTTTAAGTCGATCTCAGACTGGGATGAACCCCGGTTCCTGGGGGGTGTCATTTGGCTTTGAAAATAAAAGCTTCCTCTGGAGTACGGGCCCCCAGGCTGACCAAAGGAAGTCTTTGTCCAGAGAGAAACACGGAAGATAGAGAGGGAATGCCCGTCTGGGAAGGTGGCTCAATGGTAGAGCGCTTGCCTAGCATGGAAGCCCTGGGTTCGATTCCTCAGCACCACATAAGCAGAAAAAACCAGAAGTGGCGCTGTAGCTCAAGTGGTAGAACGCTGGCCTTGAGCTGAAGAGCTGAGGGACAGCGCCCAGGCCCAGAGTTCAAGCCCCACGACCGACCAAAAAATCAAAACATGGAGGTTCTTGGCTAGTTTGTGTGCTTGGCACTAGTGGGCAAAACTCCTTCGAAATCCTGCCCCCCCCCATTCTCATCTCCAGTGTCCCCCCTGGCTTCCCGCCCCCCCTCCCCTCTGCTTGTTCAAGTACAGATGGCTGTACCAGCCTCTGTTCATGGCACAGTGGCACTGGCTGGCACATTCCTCCATCTTGGTTGTCCAGCTTTCTCCAGGCCTAGATCAGACATCACCCTGAGCCCCAAGAACCTGCGGGGCTCTATCAGGATTCCCCACCCTCCCTGCCCCGGGGCTTCCACTCAGAGCTGGGCTCGGGCATGGCCGGGGTCCGGAACGCCTGGCATCCCTGGCTGTACAGGGTCTGGCCACCATGAAACCACAGACGGTGCCCGTGGACCCGGAAAGGCTCGGCTTCTGTGTCTCACCTGCCACCATCAGACCGAGAGACCTCGTGTCACAGTCAGAGTGGAGAAAACCCAGAGAAAGAGCTGCCCCCCTACCGCCGGCCCGTCTCCCCCTTTCATGATCGTTTTTATTTTGGGCTGTCAGCGGGTAGACATCCTTGAAACGCTGGAAGATGGTAATGAGCACGGGAAGCTGGGTTCCCGGGCTGAGCGCCGGCACCAGCAGCTGGCTTTAATGAACTCTCTGGAGATGGAGAGGAGGGGATGTGTTGGTGTTCATTTTTGTTTTTCTTCACAAGGCACACCGAGGTGTATGGGAAGTAGGCAAGATTTCCTCCCCCTTCCCCTCAGGGCTTTACGGGGGTGAACGTTACCTGTCACTCCCTATATCCTATCCATTGTGGCAGATTCAGCCCTGATTTCTTTTTTGTTCTTGTTGTTGTGTTTGTCGGTCGTGGGGCTTGAACTCTGGGCCTGGGCGCTGTCCTTCAGCTCTTCAGCTCAAGGCCAACACTCTACCACTGGAGCCACAGCGCCACTTCCAGTTTTCTGAGTGGTTTATTGGAGATCGGAGTCTCACGGGCTTTCCTGCCTGGGTTGGCTTTGAACTGTGATCCTCAGATCTCAGCCTCCTGAGTAGCTAGGATGACAGGCGTGAGCCACTACGCCCAGCTTCAGCGCAGATTTCATCAGACATTTCCTGGGATGGAGTCTTCCCTCCCTTCCCTCTGTCCTTCCCTTCTCCTTCCTTCCCAGCCTCTCTCCCCTTTCCTCTCTCTTCTTCCTGCTTCTCTCCCTCGCTTCCACTCTGTCCTTCCCTCCCTCCCTTTCTTCCTTCTCTCTGTCTCTGACTCTAGCCCTCCCTTCCCCTCTACTCATTCTGGATTGGATGTTTGACCAGTGACTCACGCCTGTCATCCTAGCTACTCAGGAGGCTGAGATCTGAGGATCCTGGTTCAAAGCCAGCCCGGGGCAGGAAAGTCCCTGAGACTCTTATCTCGTATTAACCACTCCAAAACTGGAAGTGGCGCTGTGGCTCAAGCGGTAGAGCGTTCGCCTTGAGCTGAAGAGCTGAGGGACAGCGCCCAGGCCCAGAGTTCAAGCCCCACAACCTTGAAATTCATGTCTGGAGTCCTCCTTCTCCCCCAAAGTCTGTTTTTGCAAAGGGAATAAAATGGCCGCTACCCTGCATCCTCTCCAGCAGATCCAGGTACCTCCTGAGATGCCCTGGTCTCTGTCTACACTGTACTTTCCTTTCAGCCTGGTGTGAGCATAAACTTCAGACCCTATTTAAACCAAACAGGGCTAGAAGGAGTGGGGGGGAGGGGTTCAAGGAGGAGATAGCAGTGCATCTGGCAGTACAAAGGCCCTGAGTTCAAATCCCTGGTCTAGCCCCCAGTACTTCCCAAACCAAACCACAGCAGCACAGCAACAGCAAAACAACCCAGGAACCCTTATTTATTTATTTATTAATTATTTAATTTTATTTTTGGTTGATCATGGGGCTTGAGCTCTGGGCCTGGGCGCTGTCCCTCAGCTCTTCAGCTCAAGGCGAACGCTCTACCACTTGAGCCACAGCACCACTTCCATTTTCCTGGTGGTTCATGGGAGAGAAGAGTCTCACGAACTTTCCTGCCCCAGCTGGCTTTGAACCGTGATCCTCAGATCTCAGCCTCCTGAGTAGCTAGGATGACAGGCGTGAGCCACCGGTGTCCGGCTAGGAACCCTTATTTTTACCGTTTGAAAAGTGTTACATTTGCCTCTGTTGATCATTCAGACCCACCACCGCCGCCGCCGCTGGGGAAATTAAAAGGCAATTGATAAATACATTGGATGGCGAAATGAACATTCTAGAAGCCAGGTCCCTGAGCTGTTGGCCTGGAGAGCCGGCATCCCCCTCCCCCCTCCCCGCCAAGGGCACATTACCTTGCCACTGCTCACAAGGACACAGCTGGTCCAGTGTGTTTCCCAGACACCCTGCCCCTCACCCCCTCCCACCAGGAGGCTCTCTCGCACTTGTCAGTCTGCATCCCTAAGTGTTGCTGGCACCATTTGCGTGCTCATTTGCATGAAAGAGGGTGGTGGGCCGGGAGAAGGCCGCAGAGCTTGAACAGTAGGCTCATTGTGAAGGGGCTTGTGGTACCCAGCTGCTCTGGCCACTTAGGGATGCTTCCTCCGTCCCCGATCCCAGTGTCGTGGCCAAGGCTAGAACACACATCCCTTCCTTGTGTTTCCTTTCCCTTCCCTTCATTCATGCAGATGACCGTGCTGATTTCCCCGGCAGACTTTGTTATTGTATCTTGTCAGCATGTGGATGCAAGAAAATAAAGAAATAAATATTAATGCAGCCGGGTGTCGGTGGCTCATGCCTGTGTGTACCATCCTAGCTACTCGGGAGGCTGAGATCTGAGGATGGAGGTTCGAAGCCAGTTCAGGCAGGGCGAGTCGTGTGAGACTTTGAGCTCCAATAAACTACTCAGAAAAAAAAAAAGCCAGAACTTGTATGGTGGCCCACGTGGTAGAGCAAAAGAAGCTCAGGCCTGGAGTTCAAGCCCCAGGACTAGCAAAAAACAAAGAACTCTTTCAGCTGGGCCCTGGGGGCTACTGACTGTTATCCTAGCTACTCAGGAGACTGCGATCCAGACCGAAACAGTTTAGAAAACTTCCACCTCTAATGTAACCGGCAAAAAGCTGGGCTGGAGGTGTGGCTCAAGTGGTAGAACACCAGCTGTGAGCAAGCCAAAAAAACCAAAAAAATCAAGTGAGTTCAAGCCGGGTTATATAAGACCCTGATGAGGATTCTGGTCACATATGTGGAACGGTGCATAGAATCTGCATCTGGGACATGGGGCGGGGTTGTGGGGGGTCCCCTGCTGTTGCCGGAGCTTTCTCCCCTGAGCAACAAGAGACCCCGATTTCATGGCCGACCGACCGTGCCATGCCTCTTCCCTCACAGGCCACCATTGGGATCGACTTCTTGTCAAAAACCATGTACTTGGAGGATCGTACGGTGAGTACCCCCATCTCAGCATGGGGAGGATGGGGGGGGCAAGGGAGGGACCCTTGGGGTCCCCCCCCAGAAGCTTGAGCTGGGTAACCTGAGAGAGAGAGAGAGAGAGCCCATGCTCCAAATCCGGGAGTACAGCCGGTTCATGGTGGTGTACCAGCATCACAGATGGTTTGTGATGTCCTCCTAGTCCCCCACTTCTGCTGGCTGAGAGCCCCCCGCCCCGGCTGACACCCCCACCTCCCTCGCCCTGCAGGTCCGTCTGCAGCTCTGGGACACAGCCGGCCAGGAGAGATTCCGCAGCCTGATTCCCAGCTACATCCGGGACTCCACGGTGGCCGTGGTGGTGTATGACATCACAAGTGAGTGACGGTCTGTGCGGCAGACGGATGGTGTCCAGGAGGGGGCAGGCCGGGCCCCTGTGTGTGTGTGTGTGTGTGTGTGTGTGTGTGTGTGTGTGTGGTGTGCAGCGATCACTACCGTGCATGACTTTGCAGATGTGTGTGTGAGACTCTCACCCTCCCCTCCCCTCGCCCCAGAAGGCAGCTGAGCCCCCAAAGGGCTGTCCAAGCCTGCAGAGAGAGAGCCGGAGATGACCCCACACACCCACCCACCCGGGCCTGGCCAGCCCCGTCTCGCTCACGCCCTGTCCCTCTCCCCTCCCACCTCCAGATCTCAATTCCTTCCAGCAAACCTCCAAGTGGATCGATGACGTCAGGACGGAGCGGGGCAGTGACGTCATCATCATGCTCGTGGGCAACAAGACCGACCTGGCCGACAAGAGGTAGGCGCCGGATGCCGGGGGTTACTAGGGGATTGCAGGGACCTGGATGTTGTTTTCCTTACTTTTCTCCTGGCCGTGCGGTCTGCCTGCCTGCCTGCCTGGCCCTGTGCTAGGCACCGCATAAGCTCCCTGACAGGCGGGAGCTTCTAAGCTGGTGCTTCCTGTGAAACTCCTGTGTGGGCAGAATCTGCAGCGTGTACAGCTCCAACCTCCTGCCTGGTCCATGCCCCCCTCAACCCCCCCCCCCCCCCCGCCCGGCTGTGTGTGGCTGTGTCCTCTCCACAGCTGACCTCTGGCCCAGGCCAGCTTGGGCTCCTGTGACCCTAACCCGGGCGTATAAAATGACAGATGGCAGCCCGGCACCGGTGGCTCACGCCTGTCATCCCAGCTACTCAGGAGGCTGAGATCTGAGGATCATGGTTCAAAGCCAGCCCGGGCAAGGAATGTCTGTGAGACTCTGATCTCCAATTAACCGCTCAGAAAACTACAAGTGGCGCTGTGGCTCAAGTGGTAGAGCACTCGCCTTGAGCTGAGGAGCTGAGGGACAGCGCCCAGGCCCAGAGTTCAAGCCCCAGGACTGATCAGAGAGAGAGAGAGAGAAACCTGGGAAAGGCAGGCAGCTGAGGATCTCGGGAAGAGGAGAAAGAAGAGGAGGAAGAGGAGGGAAAGGGCCATGAGGGGGGCCCTTTGTGCCTCAGTGTCCCTTTGGTCCTGGAGAGACTGAATTGTGCCCTTAGAGGGACTCTAGCTCCCAACGCTTCCTCTGCCTCTTCCCAAGGCCCTGCCCTTCTAGGGAACTGATCTCTCCCTTCCCTCCTCCCTCCCTCTCCCCTGCCTCTCTCTCTCCCTCCTTTCCAGGCAGATTACCATCGAGGAAGGGGAGCAGCGCGCCAAAGAGCTCAGCGTCATGTTCATTGAGACCAGCGCCAAGACCGGCTACAACGTGAAGCAGGTGAGTAGCTCAGAACTAGGGAGGGAGTTATGTGCATCGGTCACTCACCACTGGTGGCAGGGACAGGTCTCGAGCTCTTGAAACAGGCAATCTCAGGATCCAGCGCTGATACAAGGCAAGACAGTCTGGGCGATGTGTTCACCCACCATTTCTTTTTTTTTTTTCCCTTTGGTTGGTCGTGGGGCTTGAACTCCGGGTCTGGGCGCTGTCCCTCAGCTCTTCAGCTCAAGGCGAGCCCTCTACCCCTTGAACCACAGCGCCACTTCCAGTTTTCTGAGCGGTTTATTGGAGATCAGAGTCTCATGGACTTTCCTGCCCGGGCTGGCTTTGAACCTCGATCCTCAGATCTCAGCCTCCTGAGTAGCTAGGATGACAGGCGTGAGCCACCGGCGCTCAGCTCCCTTTTATTTCTTCTCATGCCGACTGTGGCTTGAACTCAGGGCCTCATGTTCTCACTTGGCTCTCCCCCCTCTGCCCCCCACTTAAGGCTGGTGTGCTACCACTTGAGCCACACACCTTCACGTGTGGGCATTTTGCTGGCAGACTGCAGCTAAGAGAATCTCACAGCCTTTTCTGCTTGGGCTGAGATCCTCGGATCTCAGCCTCCTGAGTAGTTAGCAGGTGGCTTGAGACACCAGTGCCGGCTTCGGGTGACAAAGTTTTAAGGGACAGGTGGCTGATGGAAACCTTGTTTCCCAGCGTCCTCTCTCACCACAGGGAGGGATTCAGCCAATCAGCGTCTTGGGTGTGTACAAGGCCAACACTCAAGACCATCATAGGACCATTCAGGCTACAGCAAAGAGGCCACCGGTGGTGAGGTTGGAGAGAGGAACTGTGGGAGACTTTTACCCCAGCCCCAGCCGTAGCCGCAGCTGCAGGTCTGCAGAGAGGAGACTCTGAAGGGGAAACCCAGGAGGGACCTCACCTTGTATCTCTCTGCCTTCTCTCGGCAGCTCTTCCGACGTGTGGCGTCCGCTCTGCCCGGCATGGAGAACGTCCAGGAGAAAAGCAAAGAAGGAAGTATCCTTTTCCCCCTCTCTCTGGACTCAGGAGCAGAAAGGTGTGCGGGGATTATCCTGGATGCATGGGATGGTTTGGTGCTACAAGGAGATACTCGCCCAGCCTCTACCCTGCCTTCCTTGGCCTGGTGTGGGCCTTGGCTGCCCGGTATACACACCGGGCTGGTGAGTTCTTCGATGACAGGAAGTGGGAGGGTACTTAGGGATATGAGCTTAGAGAAGAATACAGACCCTCACCTTCTTCCTAGTGTGTGCTCCGTGGGGTACAGCTTGAATGCCATCCATCTGAGGATCATGTATCAAAAGCCAGGCCAAGCAGAAAAGCCCATGAGATTCTCTTAGCTCGAATTTTGCCAGCAAAACACCAGATGTGGTGTGGCTCAAGCGGTAGCACGCCATCCTTAAGTGAGAAAGAAAAAACAAAAAGCCAAGTAAGAGCATGAGGCCCTAAGTTCAAGCCACACTTCAGGCATTAAAAAAAAAAAACAATTAAAAGCCAGGCACCTGTGGCTCATGCCTGTCATCCTAGCTACTCAGGAGGCTGAGATCTGAGGATCACGGTTCAAAGCCAGCCTGGGCAGGAAAGTCTGGAAGACTTTTTATCTCCAATGAACCCCCCCTCCCTTCCCAGAAAACCAGAAGTGGCGCTGTGGTCCCCAGTGGTAAAGTACTAGCCTTGAGCAAAAAGAGCTCAGGGACAGCAGTGCCCAGGCCCTGAGTTCAAGTCCCATGACCAACAAAAAGCCAAAAACAATAGCTTGAATAGTGGAAGCCAAAGATGGCCTTGTGGCTTCATTTGTCCCTCCGTCTGTCATCTGTCTGTCTGATGCAGCCAGGTAGGGTCCAGACACTGGGAGAGGCGATGGAGGCTGGAGCGAGGGGACACTTCAAGCCGGCTCTAAAGGAAATAGGCCCTTCCAGCTTCTCCTAGCCCCTCACCCCAGAGTTCTCAGAGGATGCATGGTGCTAGCAGGAGACCGGGCCCAGGACTATCTGCTTCTCTGTCAGTCATAGGACTCTAGTTACCGACAAGGTAACAGTCAACCTCTCCTTAGTAGAACTGGGTCGTGTGGGAAAGGTCTTCATTGTCACTGGGCCAGGTAGGATTGTCTATGAGGTGCTTAGGGACAATACAGGAAGCCACCCGCAAGGCCGCACAGGAAGAAAGGAAGATGCACCTCACCCAGCAGCCAGGGCCAGCCTTGATCTCCGTGACTCCTGCTCCGAACAGGAAATAGGCCGGCCAGGGTGAGTGGTGACCACTTCCTGCAGGGGTGGGACAGGGGAGGGGGGCTCTGTCCTGCCCCCAGAAGTCAGATCAGATGCCCCCCAACCCCCGACTCCAGGGCGGCCACTACTAGCAACGCCATCCTTGTTGCGTGCCTGGAGTCTCTTCCAGCTCCGCTGGGGACCACACATGCTCCCAGCTGACACTGTGGTTGTTGATGGCTGCTTCCAAACCGGTTATTTGGAAGATGATGCCCCCACCCACCCACTTTCTCAGTACACAGCAAACTTGGAGGGCAACAAAGAGAGAGAGAAAAGCCACCAGCTACCAAAGGCTATGTTCGGTCCCAGGGACCCCTTTTCCAAACCAGGCTGCTACAGGCTGTCGCTTAGGCACTTGATGAAGTGGTTCTAAGGAGACAGGACAAGGAGGCCTTCACGCAGGGCCTGCCCAGGCAGCTGCTTCGTTGACAGAACCTGGGACCAAAGCCAGATATTTGCATAGCCACGCCCATCATACTTCCAGCCACAGGGCAATGGATTGCTTTGATGCCCCAGACATAGAGCGCCGATTGTGTGTGCCCGTGGTAGATCTGAGCTGCCAGGGGTGGAGTTTGTACCCAGTGATTTGGCACAAGAGGACCACAGAGAGAGGATAGAGGAAGAGGGGAGCCACACTAGAACCTGAGGAACCAGACAGGAGGCTCACCTTGTTTTCTTCCCATAAGAAAGGTTCATAGGCAGCTCAGTGGTCGAGTGCTCGCCTAGCACGTCCGAAGTCCTGGGTTCGATTCCCCAGTACCATCTAAACAGAAAAAGCCAGAAGTGGCGCAGTGGCTCAAGTGGTAGAGCGCTAGCCTTGAGCAAAAGCAGCTCAGGGATAGCGCCCTAGACCCTGAGTTCACAGCAGCTCAAGCCTGGTTAGTTTGGAGATGAGCTCTGGTGGCTTGCCCTCCAACCCCGATTCTCTGGATCTCAGCCTCCCAAGTAGGCAGGATCACAGGCGCTCACTACAGTCACCTGGTTATCACCAGCTTGTGGTTCTGACAGGGCTGTGTGTAGGCCTCCATGGATTGGGGTCCATGCGGCCCCCTAGGACCCTTCTGAAATGTCAGTATTAAAGCCAGGCCTGCAGCCGAACGTCAGATTCCCCCAGCCTGTGTGTCCACAGAGCCCTACATAAGCTCTACTCTAGGTGGGGAGTTTGGAAGGGGGCCAGGGGTGTGGGGGGGATGCAGGTAGTAGAAGAGAAAAGAGGTTGGGGAGGCGGTGGGCTGCATCTTTCCTACTCTAGCCAAGAGTCATAGGCCTCTGGGTATTTTACCCAAGGCACACAGAGCCGGAGAGCAGCAACCCATGGGTAAGTCATCTTCCTTAGCCCCACCTCCTACAGTGATCGACATCAAGCTGGACAAACCCCAGGAGCCCCCAGCCAGCGAAGGTGGCTGTTCCTGTTAATGTAGAGTTGGAGCCCTCCTCTTCTCCCCGCCCCCTCCAACACCGCTTCCTCCAATACCACGTGCTTGTTGTGTGGCTTCCTATTGGTTAGCTTCCTAATAGGGTGGGAAATGAGTTGGTCAAGATGGGAGGATTTTTTTCTTTCTTTTCTCTCTCTCTCTCTCTAGGAGTCAGGTGGGATGGGGAGGGAGGCTGGGTATCAGGGAATGACATCACTTTAACAAGCCGTCACTTATACAACTATTTTTTTTTTGGGTTTGGTTGTAATATATTGTACTTTATTAAGATGGCCAAAAACTGTTAAAATTTAAAAAACAAAGAAGTTTAAATCCTGTGTATACAACTTTTTTGCCAGATGATACAAGAAAAATGTAGTCTCTTTTTTCTTTTATTTGAAAGATGTGCTTTTCTTCTTCTTTTCTTTTTCTTTTGTATATTTGTAAACTTCTAACCTTTTCCACGCACCTCCTTCTTCCTGTCCTCTTTCCCGTTCATTACCTTGGCCTTCCTCCCATCAACTCCAGCCTGGTAATATTTAAAAAACAACAACAAAAAACAATGAACGGAACAAATGTAATTAGGTTCTAGTCTCAGGCCATCCAGCCCTGACCGACCAGGTTACTTCTATCTCCGCATGCTCAAATGCAACATTGGAGACAGACTCTGAAAAGACAGCTGCAGAGCCCCTGAGCCGAAAGGAACAAACAGGGACCCGCTTCTGTCTCTCCTCCCCATTCCCTGCCACCACCCTCCTCTCCCCATCCAAGTTGACCAGCAGAGCAAGAGGTCATGGGAAGGACCGGTTGCCGTGGTGACGTGTGTGTGATAAGACTCTGGGGTTCCCTGTTGTAGTTCTGAACCTTACTCAGCCGGTGGTCCACACACAGAGCTGGTGTGACTCTTGAGAAACTCCATGGATGTGTGATGATGTATCCATAACTTGAGAGTCTGTGCCACTTATGATCTGAGCGGGGTCGGGGGGAAGGAGGGGAAGAGGATGTCTGCACAATTTGGGGTGGGGTGGGATGAGGTGAGGGGAATCCAAGTTCTCAAGCCCCTTGACCGTTACATCTCGCTGAGTACTATTCTGGAAAAACTCGATGGCGCGGGCAGGGCCCGGGGGGGGGGGGGGGGGGGGAGGGGGATCTCTGGGCCTGTGTCTTTGGATGGAATTCTCTGACATAAGAATTCTCTAGTGACGTAACTCCACCTGGCCAGCATTCCAAATTGCCCCAGATTCTCGGTCCCTGGCCTATTCCAAGCCACAGTGTAGACAGCAATGGTCACCAAACCTTTTCCTCCCACCTCCACGTTGGCATTGGCTCCTTTTACAACGCTGGGATGGGCCACAGCGTGAATTCCTCTACCCATCGGGTGATGGGAGTGTTTTGTTGGAACTTCTCAGAAATGGTGGCGGTAGAGGTTCAGGGCTGAGATTGTAACAATGGGCCTGCCACACATTTTTTTTTTTTTCTCCCTGCCTGAAACTGTGTGTCAAGAGTTGATCTCTAGAGAGGAAGCAGGCACCCCCAATGGGAAACTTCTTCCAACCGAGTGAGGACCCAATGTACGAGCGTAATCTAGACGTCGTGTTTAGTTTTTTGTGTTTTTTTCTACGTTGTGTATATAATTATATATAGAGATAGACTCGTGTAAACACCTCCTACAAACACACACACACACACACACACACCCTCTACACACACCAAGATGCGTGTGCTCGATGTATATTTCTCGTCTTTCTTGCTCTCAAGTCGGAACTTAACATTTGTGATATCCGTGTGGGAAATTCTCGAAGTACTGCAAAAACCGTGTTGAAATAAGAAATACTCAATATTGTCAAATAACTCGTGATTGTCTTGCCACCAATAAAAAAAAGAAATAATAATGCATATATGTGTTAAAACTACAGGCGAAATTAGCCCAGGGGAATGATCTCTACTACTATTACTACTACTTCACTATGTACCTATAAGCACGGGTGTGCGGCGTTTCCTCCCTCCCCCACCCCTCCACCCCTGCAGACACACCCCCAAAGTGGTGCTTGTTGACAGTCGCTTACTTACCTCGTGAGAATTTTTATAGGAGTCCGAGTGGGCCTCCTTGCTGGTGCACCGGCCCATGCATGAGTGCAAATGTGTGTGTGTGTGTGTGTGTGCGTATGGTGGATTCGTGTTTTCTTGGCACTGAATAATAGCTTTTTCTTTAAAAAAAAAAAAACAAAAAAAACCCAAACCATCCTGTAAAACAAGTAGCAACTCCAAGTTCTTTCTCATGTACACACAATCCAAGGTACCATGCATGGTATATTGTTGCTGCAGAAGCAGAGAGAGAGAGATATGTTAGGATGACATGGTGTTAGCAAGTGTGTGCACGACCATTTCTGGAGACCCCCCACCCACCCACCCTTGGCCTCTGGTCCTCCCTTCTGTCAGCTTGCTCGTTCCCTTCCTTCTTGGAGTCTACTCAGGCAGGCAGATCTCTCTCACAGAATTGTGTTTGGTTTCTCGGCTCTGGTCTTGTGTGGGAGCTGCCACCGTCCTCTTCCTGGTAGGTGGGACTTGGCCTCTGAGTTAAGGGTGGATGGTAACCTGGTTAGGTTCCCTGGAAGCTGTCCTGACTTTCCCCATGGCTCCCGTGCATTAGGTGCTGGAAATGGAGTTGCAGTTAGAAGGTTCCAGGTTAGCCGGCTGGGTGGACCAGAGGCCTGACGGCCTCTCTTCCTGCCACCCTCTGGAGACCTTCTGTAATGTCCCCAGGGCCTCCAGTTAGATCAGATCAGCTCGCTGTCTCTCAGGCAACAGACACCAGGACTGGGAGCTGGAAGTTGTGTGTGTGTGTGTGTGTGTGTGTGTGTGTGTGTGTGTGTGTGTGTGTGTGTGTGGCCCGGGGCACAATTCCCATCATCTCGTGGTGGATGGGAAAGCGACAGTGCGCTGCTGTCCTTGCTTGAATGCCAGGGGAGGAGGTCCGAGTTAGCTGATGACCGAGAGGCCACGGGAGGGGCAGCTGCCAGGCGATCTCGTGCCCAGACCCTACCTGTGTCACAGATGAGAGAGAACCAAGACCAAGACCGAGTGAAAGGGGCTGGGGGTGGGGAGGGGGAGGCGCCTGGCTAGCCGCGCGCACCCCTCCCCCTGGAGCGGGCTCTGATTTCCTTAGGACTTAAGCTTTTCTTCCCGGTGTGGCCTGGTGGTGAGAGGCGGCTCCCCCCTTCCCCACCCCAGGTGTCTGTGGGGTGTGTCTACTTCTTTCCTCCCTTTCCCTGGGCCTGTCCTGCCCTGCGATGGGCTGCCTGAGACTGCACACAGGGTGTATCCATCTTTCACGGGCTCGGAGGGTACAGTTGACCATCTTGACATTCAACTGTGTGTAAAAAAAAAAAAAAATGTGGAAAAGACTCAGCATGTTGGTCAAACAATAAACTGTCCTCGATTCTCAGCACAAAGCCTCCGGTGTAATGTTTCTCCAGGGGTGCAAGTGTATACAGGGGTCCAGGCCCTGTCTCCACCCTCCTTATATGCTCTTGGCCCTTTCTTCTTCTTCCCTCCCCCCTCCTCCTCCCCTCCCTCCCCTCCCCCCTCCTCACCTGAGCTCCGTGGGGCACTGTTCTCCAACCCACCCCACAGCAGGCACCTCAGGTCTCAAGTCATCTTTAGACTAAGCTGAGCCAGGTGTTGGTGGCTCACGCCTGTCATCCTAGCTGAACTCAGGAGGCTGAGATCTGAGGATCATGGTTCAAAGCCAGCCCGGGCAGAAAAGTCTTTGAGACTTCTCTCCAATAAACCACTCAGAAAACCGGAAGTGGCGCTGTGGCTCAAGTGGTAAGAGCGCTCGCCTTGAGCTGAAGAGCTGAGGGGCAGCATCCAGGCCCAGAGTTCAAATCCCACCACTGACAAGGTAAGACACAAAGGCGAAGATCAGGTGCGGAATCGCCCCTACCCTGAGCACATTGGATTGCCATTCTTCAAGTCCGACTGCACCAGCCACCCTTTCCCCTTTAATGATTCTGAAGGTTTGGGAACAACTCACCATGAAAGGCGGGTTAGGTGGCTGTACCTTCTCCCTGCCCTTCCTCCACCCCATCTGTCCTGGGAGTGACTTGTCACAGATTGTCAGTCTGTCTGTCATGTGCTCTGGGGCAAGATGGCATGGTCGCGCGCTCAGGTGACTTGCTCTGGGTGGGAATCTTCACACGCCCTCCCACGTGAACTCAGCAAACCATTCGTGCTAGTTAATGCTTTGGGCCAGACAGCTTGTATTTATTTACCAAGTACTCATCATTTACAAAAGTGATAAAAAGACAGATGTTGCTCGGCTCCGGTGGCTCACGCCTGTCATCCTAGCTACTCAGGAGGCTGAGATCTGAGGATCGTGGTTTGAGGCCAGCCCAGGCAGGAAAACTCCATGAGACTGATCTCCAATAAACTACTCAAAATAATAATAATAAGCAGAAGAAGAAGAGGAAGAGGAGGCAGGAAAGAAAAAAGCTGGAAGTGGCATGCTCAGGGACAGTGCCCAGTCCCTGAGTTCAAGCCCCAGGACTGGCAAAAAGAAAAAAAAAAAGACAGATATTTAAAACAATCCAGAGCACCACTCTGAATAGAAAACCTTGTTTTCAAAACACGAATGAAAGAAAAAAAAATCTGCACTTCCAAAATCTACAGAAAACGTGCGCCCCCCAAGTGCTGTGGCTGAGGACAGGTATGGGGGGGGGGCAGTTGCTGAAGCATTCCCTGAAGCCCCCACCCCCCGCCCCAGGATAGCCAGCGTCACCCCCAGAACACACCAGGACTCCGGGGTTCCCTGGATGCGGTGAGTGGCGTTGAATGGATGGGGTGGACGGGTCACTGGGCTGGTGAGGACACAGCCACCGTCGGCGGCGGCCTGCCGTCTGCACGCAGGGGACCCGGCCTGCCCCTCGCGTATCAGGGTGTGTCGCCACGGCCCAGCCCTGCTGCCCGTGAACGCCAGGGGCCACCAGAGACCAGCTGTCTTTGCCAATAGGGAGACTGATTTCGGGGGGGGGGGGGGGGGAGGTGCGGTGAGGGGGTTAAAAAAAAGCCACGCAAGTCGAGAAGCAGAGGAGGGACGGGCAATCTCTCCGGCGGTAGCCACCTGCTCTGCGCAGGCACATGACGCCGTCCCGAGACGTTGGCCCGCCACTGAGCGCGTGGCAGAGGGGCTGGAACACGCCCTGGGGTCCATGGTGATGTGCTTCTAGAACAATGAGATACTAGGCACGGTTTGTACACGTGTTTATCAACCCAGAAAACCACAGCCCTTCTTCAAAGCTGTCGTCATTCTTTATGACACACACACACACACACACACACACACACACACACACACACATACACACACACACACACACACATACACACACACACACACACACACACACACACTCCCTTCCTCTCAGGCGATCTTGGCCAGCCACTTCTCCAGGTCCCGGATGTCGGCAGAGGCCGGGTCCCCTTTGCCGACCTTGGCGCTACACTCCAGGAACTCCACTTTGAGGGGCAGCTGGGAGAATTCGAATTCTTTGCCTTTCTTTCCCAGCTGGGCAGGGGCAGAGCTGGAGCTGTCCAGGGTGCTGGGGGCGGCAGAGCGGGTCACGCGCAAGGTGTTGCTGTGGGGATCAAAGGAAGGAAGCCAGGAGGAGGCAAAAGGTTAACAGATGGCAGCAGTTAAGTCCCGCCAGTTCCTGAGTTACTTCAGCCCTCCCTGGAGACCCGGTCATAAAGCTACCCGTGATGCTCTACATCTTCGCAGCCTGACTGGGTGCATGGCAAGGGCCAGCAGAGCTCTCTCATACTCATCCGGCCCAGGGCCTCCTTCTAGCCTCCCGAACTATCTTTAGAATAGCGTTTTTAGCTGGGTGCCAGTGGCTCACGCCTGTCATCCTAGCTACGTAAAGAGGCTGAGATCTGAGGATGGAGGTTCGAAGCCAGCCTGGGCAGGAAAGGTCCATGAGACGCTTATCTCCAATAAAATTCTCTTGGAAAACCTAGAAGTGGCACTGTGGCTCACGTGGTACACCCTTGAGTACAAAGAGGCTCAGGGACAGCGTGCAGGCCCACAGTTCAAGCCCCAAGACTAGCAAAAAAAAAAAAAAACACACAACCCAAAAAACAGTTTGAGGCCAGCTTGGGCTACACAGAGAATTGGAGGCCGGTCTGAGTGACACGGTGAGACCCATCTCAAAATGAAGCACACCAGGCTCCTGATGTAACTGCTTTAGCCTTCACAAGTTTTCCGGGTTTTACTTTAGTACCTGCTAGTTAAGGATACCGCCGTCTGAGTTGTTTCTTTTGACCCTTGCTAAAAATCATGTGTCCGCAGGTCCTTGGCACAGTGGCCAGTAGTGCCAACAACCCCAAGAGAGGGTACAGCAATAGCACACGGGGTGACACGCAGGCAGTGTCAGAAGCCAGCGCCAGCAACTCTTTATTTTGTAAAGAGCCAGAAATGAAAGGCTTGGGGCTCTGTGGGCCACATCCGGCCTCATTTTTCTCCGTTTCTCCCTGGGCGTGCGTTTGCCCACATTCTTCTACCTCTAGGTGTGTGTGGGATGTGATCAGTGGCCAGAGGCTAGATGGCTCTATCAGGGGCTGGTTAAACAGTAAGCCCCAGGAAGTCACAGGAAAAAGACACTCTTAGAGCTGAATTTATAGTTTTCCCTCATCAGAGCTGTTTTTTTTTTTTTTTTAAAGGAGAAAAACATCCTTACCTAAAAGCACAAAGAAAATGAAGCCTGCTTTTATTATGCTGTTTTTTGTTGTTTTTTTTTCTGCCAGTCCTGGGGCTTGAACTCGGGGCCTAGGCACTGTCCCTAAGCTGCTTTTTGCTTAAGGTTAACATCCTACCACTTGAGCCACAGCGCCACTCTGGGCTTTTTCTGTGTTATATAGTAGTACTCAGGAATTGAACCCAGGGCTTCATGCATGCTAGGAAAGCACTCTACCCCTGAGCTACACTTCCAGTCCCTATACTGACCATTTCTTCTGCAAAAACTCCAGCCTGTTCTTATAAACTGGTACAATATGAGGGCCCACTGGATTCCTTCAAATTCAGATGTTTAGAGCTCAGTTTATATGGTTTTTGTTGTTGATGTTGTTGGTCATGAGGGCTGATCTCTGGGCCTGGATGCTGTCTCTCAGCTTTTCAGCTCAAAGCAAGAGCTCTACCACTTGAGCCACAGCGCCACTTCCAGCTTTTTCTGCTTATGTAGTGCTGAGGACCAGAGCCTCATGCATGCCAGGCAAGCACTCTACCACTGAGCCATCTTCCCAGCCCAGTTTATACATTCTTAAACACTAAAAATGGTAAATAACATTGTCAAGTAACTTGAAAAAAATTGGCTACCAACAGTGCCACAGATGGTTACATTCTTCCTATGTTTTGTTTTTACTTCCAATTCTGTCAACAGTTTCAATTTGTTTTTCTTCTACTATTCTCCCTAATCCTCAGCTTTTCTGCATTTTTTACTTAATTGCTTTTGATGGAGTGCATTTTAACGCTAATGCTTTGCTGTGTGGCCAACATAAACTTTCACTCCCTGGAGCAAAGCTGTTCTGAACTCAGTGTGTTGAAAGTAATTCCAGTTTCCAAAATTTCTCCTTCCAACTATCAAAGTGTGGGTAATAGTGGTTCAAAGGAATTGAGCTAATAGCTCCCATAAATCTTTCCTTGACATCGTAAAGTAGCCGGGCGCCAGTGGCTCAGGCCTGTCATCCTAGCTACTGGGGAGGCTGAGATCTGAGGATCGTGGTTCAAAACCAGCCCAGGCAGAAAAGTCCATTAGACTCTTATCTCCCATGACCCACCAGAAAACCGGAAGTGGCGCTGTGGCTCAAGTGGTAGAGAGCTGGCCTTGAGCTGAAGAGCTGAGGGACAGCGCCCAGACCCAGAGTTCAAGCCCTATGACCAACCAAAAAAAGAAAGTATAATTGCCCATCACCGCTTTTTGTTTCCACTAACATTTTTTTTGTGAATTTAACAGGGGTTATTTCACACTATTCTTCACCCATAACCGCTCAAGAGAACCTGGGCATAGGTACTTTGGGGTAGGCACACTGGCGCATTTATTAGGTACTTACAGTTCCTTTTCGAGCTGCTGCTGAATTAACTTCGCTGACTTGGCCATTGCAATATCTGTAAAGAAATAAAACACAGCCGTATTTATACCATAGAGGGTCTTCTCACACAAGAGGAAAACTCCTACTTAAACCAGTAAGCGTCTCCTCTCTTCCTTTTTTTCTGTCGGTTGTAGGGCTTGAACTCTGGGCCTGGGCGCTGTCCCTCAGCTCAAAAGCAAGCGCTCTACCATTTGAGCCACAGTGCCACTTCCAGTTTTCTGGTGGTTCATTGGAGAGAAGAGTCTTGCAGATTTTCCTTGCCCAGACTGGCTTTGCACCATGATCCTCAGTTCTCAGCCTCCTGGGTAGCTAGGATGACAGGCGTAAGCCACTGGCACCCGGCTTCCTTGCTTCCTCTTCTGAGAGATCGTATCACAGCATTCTTGCCTATGAGAATAAATGCTTTTACACTATGGGCTTTCCCCAAAAGAAAGCTCTAAAACATGTTGGTGTTAAGGCTGATGAACCGAAAATGGATTAAACTTAAGTTTTCTCCACGCGATACAGGCCTTTCAGTATGTATACTCGTCTAGTTGGTTTCACGAGAAGAAAGCTCGATGGGAAGAAGCCCAGAAAAGACCAGCTCATCTCTTTTGCTCTACAGCCAACAGAAAGAAAGCGCAGCTGAATGGCATTCAGACAGAGACCTTTGCAGGAGTTACCCACGCTGAAGGAGAACCATTCCTGCCAACTCCCCTTCATAAAACTGGCTGAATGGTAACGTTCGGCAAGTGATTTGGTAGAATCACTTATAACGTTACAAACAGCCGGGCGCTGGTGGCTCACGCCTGTCATCCCAGCTACTCAGGGAGGCTGAGATCTGACGTTCAAAGTTCAAACCCAGCCCGGGCAAGGAAAGTCCGTGACACTCTGATCTCTAATAGATCACCAGAAAACTGGAGGTGGCGCTGTGGCTCAAGTGGTAGAGCGCTCGCCTTGAGCTGAAGAGCTGAGGGACAGCGCCCAGACCCAGAGTTCAAGCTCCACGACCGGCAAAAAAAAAAAAAAAAAAAAAAAAGAAATTAGAAAGAATTAAAAAGCATTTAGGATTTAAATGCTTCCATGTCTATGCCGCTCCCACAATGGCCTCCAACTGCAACAGGAGCAGCGGAGTGTGGGCGGAGCTCCCACACAAGTCGGAAACCGGGAAGGCACCTTGCTTATTGCAGGCTATGAGGAAGGACGGGGCGCTCTTCAGACCCACGCTGTCCAGGAGGACTTGGTACAGAAACTCGGCCACGTCTTTTACCTCGCGCTGGAATGCCGCACTGTCCACCACAAACACAATCGCCCTGCGGGGAGAGCCGGCAGCAACAACGTCAGTACCTTAAGCAACCAAAAACAAAGCCGGGCGCCGGTGCCTCGCGCCTGTCATCCTAGCTACTCAGGAGGCTGAGATCTGAGGATCGTAGTTTAAAGCCAGCCTGGGCGGGAAAAGTCCGTGGGTCCCTTATCTCCAATGAACCACTCAGATCAATCATCCTTTAAGAAACATTGCCTGATCTCTAGTGTAGCTCAGTGACACTGGGAAATGACGCCAACCCGCTCACCCCAGGACTATACCCAGAAAGGGCTGAGTCTGAGTCTACATTCCTTCTCTCCTAGAGACTTGGCTGCTTCCAGAACTCCACTGGCACACACAGTGCAACAGTTTCACCAAATCTGTTTCCTTCCTGCTTACCTGGCTGAAGCCTTAAACCGATCTAGGAACTGAAGCCTCAAGCTCTCGTGCCCGGGAAGGTCAATCAAGGTCAGGCTGTTGCCCTGCAGATGGCAGCGATAACATCACGTTAGTGTTTCCTTCCAATTCCGTGTTCACTTTTACTGTCCGATTTGGGCGACCAGACTGGTGCCTAACTGTTCATGAATGAATGCAACGAAGGTTCGTTGTATGAACAAGGTTCGTTGTTGTTAATAAGTCCAATGGATGTGCATGGAGTACATTCTAATAAAACACCATTGCACCCAGCCACTGAGTGAAACCACAATACTCCAATCTCTACCTCCCAGGTGGAGCTGGGATTACAGGCTTGAGCTACTGTGCCTGGCTTGTGCCCATTCTTGATCTAAGCCCTAATGGGCATTTCACACTGTGGAGTGTCTCACGTATTGTACTTATCACCCACTTCTTGTGTTTTCTTTGTCTGTGGCCAACCATAACCAGAAGGAAATCTGTGTCTTACACACACACACACACACACACACACACACACACACACACACACACACACACACACACACACACACACACACACACACCAGTTCCAGTTGGATCCCTTACAACCTTTCAGATCATCTGGGCAGTTTTCTGTAAGTGGATATAAATGTCAACTAGCATTTTTTTTTTTAGGTCCGAGACTGGGACTTGAACTCGGTACCTGATGCTTTCACTCACTGGCTAGTGCTCTACTGAGTCACACCTCCAACTCTGCTTTTTTTTTTTTTTTCAAATACTCATTCTTCATGACCACATGTTGAGACACATGTCAATCAATGCTGTGCTATACACAGTACAACTGGGTAGGTTCCCACGTAAGAAGAGACTAGATCTAACATCAGTGGGTAGAAGAGGAAGAGGTAAAAGAAGGAAGTATTTCCATACTTTTCTTTTTGTCAGTCATGGGCCTTGAACTCTGGGCCTAAGCCCTGTCCCTCAGCTCTTCAGCTCAAGGCGAGCGCTCTACCACTTGAGCCACAGAGCCACTTCCGGCTTTTTTCTGCTTATGTGGTGCTGAGGAATCGAACCCACGGCCTCATGCATGCAAGGCAAGCACTCTACCACTGAGCCACCTTCCCAGCCCCTCCATACTTCTTTAAAGGACGTAATTGATGCTCACTTCAGAACTCACGGTAGGGAAGGGGTGACATTGTGCAAAAGGACATTTACTCATTACTTGTAACCCCTCTGTACATCGTCTTTATAATAACAATAAAAAATTTTAAAAATTAGAATGAAAAAAAAGAACTCACAGAAAAGCTGGAAAGAAAAGGAAACTTTAACAACAAAATACAAGCTGGTGCCCACTTCCTCAGGTCTGGATGCCATTCTGGAACTACCAGAGAACACTTACCTTGTTGTTGTTGACTTTGTACATAGCAGAGCTGTCCGTGATGGATGTCTGCGTGTCTCTGTAATGGCCTGTGAGCAGCTGTGGAAATGAGGAGAGATGAGAGTGGACCTTCTTTGAAGGTCCTTTCCCTCCCGCCACTGAGTGACATTCTGTTACCCGACCAAGTGTGAACTAACTGGATGTGGCACGCTGGCTTCCGTGTCTCCAAGTGTTCGGTCATCCTTAGCCACAGAATCCTAACACAAAACCCTTCAGTTTGGGTAAAGACTATGTATCGGCATCTGATGAGAACAGCAAAAACCCAGAAATGGCTGTACATCTTCAGTTTTATCGGTTTTTCCACAAGTTCTTCTGTCCTCAAAATAAGTCAGGAATTAATTCCCCAATGTGACGGCCTACGTATCTTTTACAAAGAGACGCCAAGAGCTCACAGTGAAAAGTTTAGGAAGTTAGTATCAAAAGCACTTACCCTGACAAACAAGAGCGTTTTCCCCCGCGTCACAGAGGCCAACCAGGAGAACAGCTCTCTGGCTGCTCTTTCTGCTCCAGACGAACTTCCAGAACACTAGAGAACACAGAACAGCAGCCCACGTTACAAATAATAGCCAACAGTACTGACAGACGCCTACCACAGCAGACCGAGAACTTTTATGCTTCCTAAGCCATCACGATGCTTACTGTGCCCGTGAGCGTGTGTTCACACTCAACGAAGACAGTGTTAAAGCAAGACAGTGATCTTGAGGGCCAATGACTTGCTCTGGCACAAAACAAGTTTGATGGACAAAACTCATCTTGGGGGATGGACCCCTATTTTGGTGGGGGCATGTGACAGAATCCATAAGGATGGGTAGCCTGAACCTCAATGACTCCAAAGCTCAACTTTGAGAAGGTCTGGGCCCCAATCACAAGACAGTGTAAGGCCAATCTTGAAACCTTGGGCCCTGTGAACGAAACAGTGTACAGCGAGCCAAGAGTGGTTTCAATGTACAGATGTTGGAACATCTCATCCTTGGGGAGAATTTGGGCCAAATCCCAACTTAACCTTTTCATCCTCAAGGCCCGTGATTGTGAAAAGCACCCCATTACCAGCTGTGTGCCTGCATCCATGTCCCTGTTGTGGTGTGCTGTGGTATGTGTGTGGGGGGGAGGGGAGTTGTGTACCATCTACCGTCTATCTTTCCTTCACTTTGCTTTACTGATAAAGGTGGCTAAGTCCTCAAGTCCTTTATTTTTTTGCGAGAACATCAAGATCTCACTCAGCCGAGTGCTGGTGGCTCACGCCTGTCATCCTAGCTACTCAGGAGGCTGAGCTTTGAGGATCACGGTTCAACACTAACAAGGGGCAGAATATCTGTGAGACTTATCTCCAATGAACCATCAAAAAACTGGAAGTGGCGCTGTGGCTCAAGTGGTAGAGCGCCAGCCTCGAGCTGAAGAGCTGAGGGGCAGCGCCCGGGCCCTGAGTTCAAGCCCCACGACCGACACAGACACACACACACACACACACACACACACACACACACACACACACACACACACACACACGAACTCAATCATCCCCTAAGACTCCTCAATTAAGTACCCAAGGGCAGGGCTAAGAGCACTGAGGATAGCACCTGTTTCACCCCAGCACCTGGAGGCCACTCTGGAGGTCTCCAAGGAGCAGAGGAGGGGAAGGGGGGGGGTCTCCTGGGGCTCCCCTTTAGACAAAAGGGTGGGTGGGTGGATGGGTGGAGGAGGGGGTGTCAGTCTCCCCGGTTCTGTTTTTGTGTTGGTGCCAGGCCTGGGGCTTGAACTCAGGGCCTGGGTGCTGTCCCTGCTTAGGTGGTGCTGAGGAATCGAACCCAGGGCCTGAGCCACCTGCCCAGCCCCCAGTCTCCCCATTCTGGACGCCCCACCCCCACCCCCTCAGCATCCACATCCGGGTCCTGGGAGCGGAAGCACGGCCCTCAGCCCGGGTCCTGCGCCCCCCCCACCTCTCCACCTCCCCCCGCACCCCCCCCACCTCCCCCCCCACCTCCCCACCTCCCCCCTCCCCCCCTCCACTTCCCCACCCCCCCCACCTCCCCCCTCCACCTCCCCACCCCCTCCACCCCCCCACCCCCCCACCTCCCCCCTCCACCTCCCCACCCCCCTCCACCCCCCCACCCCCCCACCTCCCCCCTCCACCTCCCCAACCCCCAGCCCCCCACCTCCCCCCTCCACCTCCCCACTCCCCCCACCCCCCCCACCTCCCCCCTCCACCTCCCCAACCCCCAGCCCCCCCACCTCCCCCCTCCACCTCCCCACCCCCCACCTCCCCCCTCCACCTCCCCACCCCCCCACCTCCCCCCTCCACCTCCCCACCCCCTCCACCACCCCACCCCCCCACCCCCTCCACCACCCCACCCCCCCCACCCCCCCCCTCCCACCCCCACCCCCCCCCACCCCCCCCCACCTCCCCACCTCCCCCCCCCACCTTCCCCCCCCCACCTCCCTCCCCCCCCACCCTCCCCACCCCCCCACCTCCCTCCCCCCCCACCCCCCCACCTCCCCCACTTTACCCAGCGTCAACAGCACGGCCAGGAGCGCCGCCGCCGCCGACAGCAGCGTGGGGTCCTGCCGCTGCAGCTCCCGCCGCCAGGAATCCAGATAGGGCTGGAAGGTGCCGCCGCCCTCTCCCACCCGCCGGGACTCCACCGAAGCCATGGATGGAGGGAGGGATGGAGGGATGGGAACGCCGAGTGGTCTTCACAGTCGTAAAAGCGACGTGGCGCGACGGGGGGTGGTGGAAAGTAGCTGCGCGACGCCGCCGCGGGGGAGCGGAGCCTCATGGGAGTGGTAGTTTCTCCCGGCTCCTCCCTTGAAGTGCCTGATGGGAGTTGTAGTTCCCCCCAACTACATTTCCGCCGTCTCCTCCTTTGACGTGCCTGATGGGAGTTGTAGACCCACCCACTACACTTCCGCCGGCTGCTCCTTTGAAGTGCCTGATGGGAGTTGTAACCCCACCACCACCCCGAACTACACTTCCGCCGGCTCCTCCCTTGAAGTGCCTGATGGGAGTTGTAGTTCTCGAAAGCACAGCGGGCCGCCGCGGAACCCGGAAGACGCAGCTGAGGTGCCGCCGCCGGGTCCGCCAGAGAGCGCTCCGGCCTTTCATTATTTCTTAAAATTCTGTCGAGTATCGAACCGTATTGACATTGTATCTTTGTTAAAAACAACAAAACAGTCTGTGTCTACTAGTCTGACAGCTCCAGTAGAGAGTAAGTAAACAATGAGTATCACTTTGGCCAGCTCCTAAGCCTGGTCATTATACATAAAATACTATATACATCATATTCCTATGTGTAATGTAGCATGCATAATATAATGTTCTATAATCTGCATTATAGATATAGTGTTATATAATGTATATAATATAATATGTAATGTTATATATAATATAATATGTATTGTATATAATTATATATGTAATTATATATGATTATATACATTATAAAATATATAATTATTATATATAATTATTATATTATATATAATTATATAGTATATAATTATATATAATATAATATATAGTAGCTATATATTATATATATAGCTACTATATATTATATTATTTATATAATATAATATATAATTACTATGTGTTTTATTATATTATATTATATAATTATTTATATAATATAACATATTACATTATATATTAATTATATTATATTATCATATATAATTATATATTATATAAAATTATATAATATATGATATATAATAGTGTTTTATATATATATATTTTTTTTTTTTTTTTTGTCGGTCATGGGGCTTGAACTCTGGGCCTGGGCGCTGTCCCTGAGCTCTTCAGCTCAAGGCGAGTGTTCTACCACTTGAGCCACAGCGCCACTTCCGGTTTTCTGGTGGTTTACTGGAGATAGGAATCTCACGGTCTCTCCTGCCCGGGCTGGCTTTGAACCGTGATCCTCAGACCTCAGCCTCCTGAGTAGCTAGGATTACAGGCGTGAGCCACCAGCGCCCGGCTTAATGTTATATATTATATATATAATTATATAATATTATATATAATTATATATATTATATATTATATTATACATATATCATATATTATACATATATAATAGATAATAGATAATATAACATATATACTATATGTTATATATAATAAAATATATATAATATAATAATTATATAATGTATAACATAATATATAATTATATAATATATGGGTGGGTATGTGCACATATATGTATATGTAGCATAATAATATGTTATACAATATGTAATATAATAATATATAACACATATAAATGGGGTTGGGGAGAGGGTGGGGGAGAAGTTGTGGAGGGAAGGGATAGTAGAAAAAATATATTAAAAATAACATATAAATACATGTGAGTTATATATAAATACATAAATATATAATATGCTATATGATTATATATACTATATGTCATATAGTATACTATGTTAATATATAATGTATAACATAGTATATAATATATAATATGCCAAATAATGTGACATGTATTGTATTATATATATATATGTATTTGTCATTAAGTAGATATAAATGTAAATAGGTAGAAATTGCTTAGCAGTTCAGAGAACTAGATTAGAAAGACAAACAATTGGGCTCCAGCTCTGCTTTACCCTCTGATAGAAACCACAAAATAACTCTCTTTTATTTATTTTTTGGGGGGGGTTCGGTTGTGGGGCCTGAACTCTGGGCCTGGGCTCTGTCCCTCAGCTCTTCAGCTCAAGGGTAGCGCTCTACCACTTGAGCCACAGCGCCGCTTCTGGCTTTTTTTTTTTCTGCTTAAGTGGTGCTGAGGAATCAAACCCAGGGCCTCATGCATGCAAGGCAAGCGCTCTGCCACTGAGCCACCTTCCCAGCCCTACAAAATAACTTTTTTAAAAGGATGCATTTATTCACATTTTTTTTTCATTTTATTTTCTTTTAAAGATACTATCTTAGCCGGGCGCTGGTGGCTCATGCCTGTAATCCTAGCTACTCAGGAGGCTGAGATCTGAGGATCGCGGTTCAAAGCCAGCCCCGGCAGGAGAGACCGTGAGACTCCTATCTCCAATAAACCACCAGAAAACCGGAAGTGATGCTGTAGCTCAAGTGGTAGAGCGCTCGCCTTGAGCTGAAGAGCTGAGGGACAGCGCCCAGGCCCAGAGTTCAGGCCCCACGACCGACCAAAAAAAAAAAAAAAGATACTATCTTCCCACTGTGTTTTCCTGTCAGGATCTCCAAAGGGCCATCAAGAACAGCTCTCTGCCTGCTCTTGTCTGCTCCAGCTAACTTCCAGAACTCTGTGGACTAGAAATGAAGGAAGAGGAAGAGGAGGAGGAGGAGGAGGGAGAAGAGAGAAGAAAGAAGAAGAAAGTACAAGGTTGGTTGTGGTGGTCTACTGCTGTGTGGTCAGTAACAGGTGTCTGTATGGTGCTTTTCACTTCATGGGATGTTGTGTAGAAGAAGGGATGAAATGAGTAACACGAACAGCTCTTGAGATCTTCTCTGGGATCTCTGCTTGGTCTGTCTGTGAGGTGAGGCTTGGAGAGGAATTCAAGCTTCCCACAAACATTGTAAGGAGCCCAGAACCCAAGCCCTGAAGGGCGAGCTTAGCCTCTGTGGATGTGTCCTGTGGAAAAATAAGAGTATCAGCAAATGACACGTACTGGATCATTTGTTGTCTCTCCGTTGTCCAGGACTGCTTTTGCAAACCCACATGACTGTGAAAGGGAGAGACCTGGAAAAATCCATGCACCTAAGGGCCTAGGGCTACCGAGAACTTCAACTTATTACTCTTGCTGGAGGAAAGTGGACCTTGCTCAGCCAGGTAGGAACCTAGGTGGCCAATACCTCCAATTTTGCAAGAGAATCTAGAAAGATACTTGGGTTTTGTTGTTGTTGTTGTTGTTGTTGCTAAATGAGACGTTTTTCCACTTCTAAATATCCAGTAGGTTAATTGAAAATATTCAGAGATTGTGGTGGAATTAAAAGACCTCTTGGGGTGAGGCATGGCCAGGATAGAAGTTCCATTCTCCTTCTTTCTTGCTTAAGCAGGTGTTGCTGCTTTAACCCACGTAATGAGTGGGAAGGAATGTGGGATATAAAAGGCTTGTGAGCCAGGCGTGGTGGCTCACGCCCATCATCCTAGCTACTCAGGAGGCTGAGATCTGAGGATCACAGTTCAAAGCCAGCCCAGGCAGGAAACTCCGTGAGACTCTTCTCTCCAATAAACCACTCAGAAAACCAAAGTGGTGCTGTGGCTCAAGTGGTAGAGCGCTCGCCTTGAGCTGAAGAGCTGAGGGACAGCGCCCAGGCCCAGAGTTCAAGCCCCACAACGGACAAAAAAAAAAAAAAAAATGGTTTGTGAAATCATAAATGATTTTATGTGATGTGATGGGGTAGATGTGTGGTGATAATTTTGTATGGTGTGTAATGATATTAGAAATACTCAAATGATCCTGGTAGAAAAAAAAAAAAAGTTCCCTACCACCGAAAGGTGGTAAGTGCAAGTTAATATAATGATATCAGAGGTCAATGTCATCAGAAGACTCAAAGTTTATTACAGTTCCGTATTGCTACACAGGGCCACATGAAACCTTAATACAAGAATGACGGGAGGGGTGATATTGATCAAGATGCGTTGTACTGGGGCTGGGAAGGTGGCTTAGTGGTAGAGCGCATGCCTTTCATGCATGAGGCCCTGGGTTCAATTCCTCAGCACCACATAAGTAGAAAAAGCCAGAAATGGCGCTGTGGCTCAAGTGGTAGAGCGCTCGCCTTGAGCTGAAGAGCTGAAGGACAGCGCCCAGGCCCAGAGTTCAAGCCCCATGACTGACAAAAACAAAAACAAAAACAAGATGCATCATACTCAAAAATTAACGTGTTTAGTCGAAACCTCTTTGCACAACTACTTGTAGATAATAATTATTATTATAAACCCTGCATACATGCAGGGAGCCAAAAGAGAAAAGAACCGCGACTCTCCATCATGGGTTGGGGGTGGAAACATTTTTGATTGAACGAGAATTGAGACCAAAAAAACCCGTGAAAGTTTATGTTTGGAAGATGGGCAATGTGGTTTAAGTGTAGTTCTCCAAAACCAGACCCTGGAGGAAAATAAGAAAAACTCTGGCCATGAGCTTGGTGTTGTGATCAATGGATATTGAATTGTCAGTTGTAAAATGTATTTACAAAATTGATAAACAGTCATTTAAGGGCTGGGAAGGTGGCTCAGTGGTAGAGCGCTTGCCTTGCATGTATGAGGCCCTGGGTTCGATTCCTCCACACCACCTAAGCAGAAAAAGCCGGAAGTGGCGCTGTGGCTCAAGTGGTGTGGAGTGTAATTGTTTCTCAAGAGCGGCGTGAGTTTTCCTTTGAGAGGCACAAGTAAACAACTCTGTGAGTTGCTGTAGAAGTGAGCAACACACGGGAGTAAAACACACAGCCCTGGTGGTGGCCTATAGCATCGCTCATAGCTGAGAGAGTCTTGGGGTGCAGCTGCATGATGAGCGTGTGCTGGGGAAGATAAAGGGGTGTGGGAAGTTACAACCATGGTACATGGGAATGGGGGTAACATCTAATGGTAATGAGCATTTTTTAAGGAATATAAAATGATGGACCACTATTCTCCATTATTATTATTATTATTATTATTTTGGTCATGGGGCTTGAACTACCACTTGAGCCACAGCGCCACTTCCAGTTTTCTGCTGGTTCACTGGAGATAAGAGTCTCATGGACTCTTCTGCCCAGGCTGGCTTTGAACCGTGATCCTCAGACCTCAGCCTCCTGAGTAGCTAGGATGACAGGCGTGAGCCACCGATTCCCTGCTATTCCCCATTATTTACAATATAAACAATATACAATCGACTAACAATCTGATTACTACAGAGTTGTTTTTCTGGCTTCTGTGGACCTAGTAACCCAGTACCAAAAAGATTGAGCCTACGTGTAAGGAATGAGTTTGGAATAAAGTAAAAGCTCACAGCTATAATCTTAGCTACTCAGAAGATCTGAGGATTACAGTGCTAAGCCAGCCCGAGTAGGAAAGTTGGTGAGATGCTTTTCTCTAATTAACCACTCAAAAGCTGAAATGGAGCTGTGGCTCAAATGGCACAACCATTGAGCCTTGAGCAGAAAAGAAAAAACTAAGGGACAGTACACAGGTCCTGAGTTCAAATCTGATACTGACACACCAACATAATAATTATTATTATTAATAGTCTTTTATAGACATACTCTGTGCTTGCTAGACACTTTTTCATTCCTTATCCCCTGACAAGTGAATATGTACACACACACACACACACACACACACACACACACACACACATGCACACACATCCAATAGCCATAGAGATTTGATTGTATTATAATGGCTACACAGGCTCTCTCAGAAAAGGTTCCTCCTTCACTGGACCCAAGACTAGATGGATATCTGAGCGTAGAAAGGAGTGTGCGGGTGTTACTCCATTGCTTCTGTGTTTAGTCAGATCATAGAAAGACATCCTCAGGAAAGAATGGAGTCTTGGAAATATACAATGGACAGTAGGTTTTTATTCGTGCTTGGGGCACGTGGCAAAGACTAGACAAGGCTGGCATCGGGGACCTCGGGCTGTGGAGGCCAGGAGAAGCCTGAGGGTCACTTGAATGGCCGATCGCCGGGAGAACCTCACCTCTCAGGTTTTAATGTTTGTGGAAAGAGCAGGCGTCCAGGAGCCCTGTGGGGGCAGAGCAGAGAGGCGGGACATTCAGAATACATGGGGTTCACTTAGAACCTTCTTTTGTTTTGGTGGTTGCTGGTGGGGGGGGGGGGGGTAGGTCGTTGGGCTTGAACTCACAGCCTGGGTGCTGTACTGTAAGCTCTTTTGTTCCAGGCTAGCGTTCTACCGCTTTGAGCCACAGCGCCACTTCCCGTTGTCTGGTGGTTCATTGGAGTTAAGAGTCTCACGGAAGCCGGGCGCCGGTGGCTCACGCCTGTCATCCTAGCTACTCAGGAGGCTGAGATCTGAGGATCGCGGTTCAAAGCCAGCCTGGGCAAGGAACGTCCCTGAGATTCTTCTCTCCAATAAACCACCAGAAAACTGGAAGTGGCGCTGTGGCTCAAGTGGTAGAGCGCTCGCCTTGAGCTGAGGAGCTGAGGGACAGCGCCTAGGCCCAGAGTCCAAGCCCCATGACCGACCATGGGGGAGAAAAAATAGTTGGGTGTGAGCCACCGGCGCCCAACTTCGAGAGACTTCTGATCTCCAATGTACCACCCCCAAAAAGTGACAAATCTAAGCAAGGGCACGAAGTCTCAAATTCAAGCCCCGTAACCTTCCACCCCCCAAGTTTGCCCCTTAGCATTCTGGGCCTGTGTCTCCCCCCCCCCCCCCCGTTTTCTGCCTGCTCACGTGGAGTACCCTACTCCCACCTGGGCCCCTCAGTTCTGTCTTCACCAGTGTTCCCCCCATCCCAAGGATCACAGTCTCCTCCGTGCTCAGAACCCAGTACCGTGTTACGTGTGTGGCGCACACCCCATGCTGGAACCCCACTTCCCCCCCTCCTCCCCCCCCCCCGCCCGCCCCAACTCACATGAGGTCGAGCACTTGCGGAAGCCCTTGATGGCCTTGTTATACTCGTCTCCTAAGTACTTCTCGGTGGTGATGCCCTCGGGAAGCCGGACCAGGCACTTGGTGTCATCTCGGAACAGGAGGTCCTTGGTCTCGGAGTGGAACATGCAGAACTTGCTGGAGCAGTCGCTGACGTGACTTCCGAAGTCGGTCTGCCCAAGGCACGGGAAACCACGTGTTAAGGGCCCTACCGTCGCCGGGCTGCCCGCGGACATCACAGGGCAGCTGACACCCCCACCCCGGGAGCAAGGGGAAGCTGCCGAGGATGCTTCCAGAATGTCCCGTAGTATTCTGCTGCCTGAAAGTCCCTTGTTAGGGGGTTTCCCTGCTCTTGGGTGCCCCTGGGGACCGTGTCTCCTTACTCCACCCATGTCCTGCATCTTTCTGTGGGCTTAGGAATACTTTGCTCATCATTACCATTGTTATCTCTTATTTATTTTATTACTTATTTTTGTCAGTCCTGGGGCTTGAACTCTGGGCCTGGGCGCTGTCCCTCAGCTCTTCAGCTCAAGGCCAGTGCTCTACCACTTGAGCCACAGTACCACTTCTGGTTTTCTGAGTGGTTCATTGGAGAGAAGAGTCGTCTCAGGGCCTTTCCTGCCCGGGCTGGCTTTGAACCTCCATCCTTAGATATCTCAGCCTCCAGAGTAGCTAGGATGACAGGTGTGAGCCACCATGCCTGGCCATTGTATGTATTCTTTTCTTTTTTTTTCTTTTTTCTGCTTATGTGGTGCTGAGGAATCGAACCCAGGGCCTCATGCATGCGAGGCAAGCGCTCTACCACTGAGCCACCTCCCCAGCCCGCCATTGTATGTTTTCAAAGGACTTCTGGAGCTACCCCATCTTCTTTTAAAAAGTAAAGCAGCCATTGGGCGCCAGTGGCTCCCTCCTGTCATCCTAGCTACTCAGGAGGCTGAGGTCTAAAGATCACAGTTCAAAGCCAGCCCGGGCAGGAAAGTCCATGAGACTCTTATCTCTGATGAGCCATTCAGAAAACAGGAAGTGGCGCTGTGGCTCAAGTGGTAGAGCGCTTTCCTTGAGCTAAGGAGCTCAGGGACAGCACCCAGGCCCCGAGTTCTAGAGTCAGGGCTACTGTTCGTTGTGAATTTCTCTAAGTAGTCTCCGGCTGTCTAAGAATAAATGGTAGGAGGCCTAGGCCAGTCCATACCTGCTGGTTGAGTAACTTGGTGCGGACACATTGGGCCTTATCTTTCCGGGAGATCACAGCGTGATTGGGGGCTCGGGCAAGGTGGCAACTGGCAGCCTCCGTCACCTTCTTCCTGGTGCCATCTGGGCACAGCAACTCAAAGTCTTCCTCCTTCAGATTCTTCGCCCAATCAGCAGGGTTCTTCCCTGGGCAGGGAGAGAGAAGCTAGATCAGCCAGGACTGAGGGTCCCACGTGCCAGCGTGCAAAAGGCTTGGGTTCTCCCCCCAGCAGACGTGCCAAATGAGGACATTCTTCCAGATCATTCTTTCCCACGTCACATACGCAGCATAAGGGAGACCCGCCGGCCCACATTTTTACATCTCGTGACGCATACCATTGGTGTTTTGAAAGACAGTCTGCTCTTTCACGAAGGCCACGTCTCCCTTCTCAACGAGACACCTGCAGAGGTCGAGAGGTGAGACCAATAGGTGTATCATTTCGTGGGGGACAGGGGCGCACCTGATCGATACAGGGTGGCTGTCCCATGTCAGAAATTACTAAGTAATTACTAAGTAATATAAGCGGTAAAGGGAAAAGCAAAGCCCCAGGGGCTTCAAATTGCTGTGTATGTATAAAAATTACATTTTCTTTTATAGCTTCTCCAACAGATTACATTCTTTTCCTAGTATCCAACACCAGGAGAGAGCATCCACTTTCCAGTAGGGTGAAACAAGAATGAGAAACTCCAAAGCCCGGCGCCGGTGGCTCACGCCCATCATCCTAGTTACTCAGGAGGCTGAGCTCTGAGGATCACAGTTCAAAGCCAGCCCCGGGCAAGGAAAGTCTGTGAGACTCTTATCTCCAATAAGCCACTAGGAAACCGGAAGTGGCGCTGTGGCTCAAAGTGGTAGAGCGCTTGCCTTGAGCTGAAGAAGCTGAGGGACAGCGCCCAGGCCGAGTTCAAGCCCCACAACTGACCAAAACCAAAAAGGTGACTACAGGGAGGAATTTAGAAATCGTATTTTCTAGATTATGCAAGGGCCTGAGCCACGCTCCCCAACCCGGCGTTTATTCCACTGTAGAAGCTTTCTGTTGCTTTGGCACCAAAGCACATTGGGAGCTGGACAGGTCTTTGTTGATCGGTGCTGTTCTGCGCATCACAGAGCTTCTAGATGTCTCCACCCTAAGGAGCTAGTGGTCACGGTCAAAGGACATGTATAGATGTCTCCTCCGTGGGTTAGATAGGGAACTGATGATTCCCCAGAGAGGAAATGGGATATTGTTCTGTCCTGCGGTAGGATTGAGACACTTACCTAAAGGCGCCCGTGTAACTGTGATACCCTTCTTTGCTGTTAGGAGCGCATTTTTTGGGGCCTATGCACAGGTCACAGAGGGTGGAGTTTTCCTGATATCCCGGGGCACAGCCTTGACTGAAAAATTCATCTGTCAAATGTCAAGAGGAAAAGTGAGCGGTTGGGACTGGGAAGGTGGCTCAGTGGTAGAGCTCTTGCCTTGCATGCATGAGGCCCTGGGTTCCATTCCTCAGCACCACATGAGTAGCAGGGGGGAAAAAAAGCCGGAAGTGGCGCTGTGGCTCAAGGGATAGAGCACTGGCCTTGAACTGAGGGACAGCGCCCAGGCCCAGAGTTCAAGCCCAGCAACTGTTGGTTGTGAGGCTTGAACTTGGGGACCAGGCTCCGTCTCTGAGCTCTTTTTGCTCAAGGCTAGCACCCTACCACACAGCCTGCAGAACCCCTGCCCCACGAGTCATCGGTTGTCTAACCAATATTCATTTCCCTTGGCCCCCTAGAAGCAAAACAAGATCACGTTTTATTTGGAACGTGTCCACATGGAAAAGATTACCTTCCTCTCAGATAACTTAGTCGTGGAATAGCTTAAATTCTGACCCATGGCAAGTTGGCTAAAATAACCAGTGAGCCATCTTGGAAGGTTCTTTTTTGTTTTTTTTTCATTTATGGGGCTTGAACTCCGGGCCTGGGCGCTGCCCCTCAGCTCTTCAGCTCAAGGCTAGCGCTCTACCACTTGAGCCACAGTGCCACTTCCGGTGGTTTATTGGAGAGAAGAGTCTCACGGACTTTTCCTTGCCCGAGCTGGCTTTGAACCGTGATCCTCAGATCTCAGCCTCCTGAGTAGCTAGTATGACAGGCGTGAGCCACCGGCGCCCAGCTTTTTAGTAATTATGTATTCGCGGAAGCCATCATATGCAACTGAAATACATTATCCCAACCCGGCTCCTAGCTCTACAGCTCTCCCAGCCCTTGAGATTTCTGGGAGATGCACCTTGACCCATCTCTCCAAATAGAACTCACAGCCGTGTCCTTCTCTTCCTTTCCAGTAACACCCCTCCCCCCCCCCCCACCCGCCCCAGACTCACTCACCGAATCTGCAGTGGTTGATCTTGGTATAGATCAGGCCCATGGGGATATTCCAGCCAGCATTCCTGTTGACACCCGTGTGGCAAGACTTCTTGCCTTGTAAATTGTCCCAGGTGATGCTAGGATCAGATTTCTTCACCACAGCCACGCTCAAATATCCTATGAGACAGACCACCACCACCAAAGAGGTGTGTCACTACCTCTTAAGCCTTCACTGTGTCTACTAGAAGGGGCTGGGAAGGTGGCTCAATGGTAGAGTGCTTGCCTCGCATGCATGAGGCTCTGAGTTTGATTCCTCAGCACCACATACACAGAAAAAGCCGGAGGTGGGGCTGTGGCTCAAGGGGTACAGCACTAGCCTTGAGCTGAAGAGCTGAGGGACAGCGCCCAGGCCCAGAGTTCAAGCCTCATGGACCGATAAAAAAAAAAAAAAAAAAAATCAAACCCCTATGCACCAAAAAAAAAAAAAAAAAAGTCCACTAGAACAGCTAGTATAACACCAACATTTTATCAAGTAATATGTTTGGGGGTAGGGTAACAAGAGACCAAATAATCAGGAATAATCGGACTTGTTGGGTTTTTCTTTTCTGATAAGGAGAGCGTAGTTTTATGCCAAAATAAATATGGAGCAAGTGGAAAATATAAAAATCAAACCATCAGAAATTTTCAGCAGCAAACACATCCTGGTCTTGCATGATGGAAAATAGAACAACCCAAGATTTTATTTCTAACTAAGGAATCAACTAAGAATGGCTCTTTCTAGATACACTAAAGATCTTGTCTCCTAGAGAGAGAGAGAGAGAGGACTAAGGAAGGCTGGGAGGTAGTCCTACCTTATAAAACTAAATAAGAAATCCAGTTTTCCACCCATTGCCGAAGCCTGGTGACTTCCCTTTCAACATGCATTTGCATTCCAAGACTTACTTGATCTATCCCATTGCCTTGCCTACTGATAGTATGAATTTTCAACTTACTATTCTTCCCAACCTCCCCCCAAAATGGGATTATACCTTTTAATGCCTGAAGTTACCAATTTCTACTCACCTTTCTCTGGTGGACTGTCACAATTTGTGCTATCTAGAGGAAAAGAAAAGTAAGAGAATGGTAAATGCTCACGTAGAGATGGGGAAAACATGCCTTTCTCACGCAGCAACCAAGAATAGGACTCATACAACCATGCATGTTAGCTGTGTAACCCTAGCTGCTCAGAAAACTGAGATCTGAGGATTCCAGTTCAAAGCCAGCCCAGGCAGGAAAGTCTATGAGACTCTTATCTCCAATAAACTACACACACACACACACACACACACACACACACACACACACACACACACACACACACACACACACACACACACACACACACACACACACACACACACACACACGCAAAGCGGAGTTGTGGCTTAAGTGGTAGAGTGCTAAAACCTTAAGCCCAAAAACTCAGAGACAGAGCCCAGACCCTGAGTTCAAGCCTCAGAACCAACAGTAAGTTAAGAAGCTGGGAAGGTGGCTTAGTGGTAGAGCTCTTGCCTTGCATGCATGAGGCCCTGGGTTCGATTCCTCAGCACCACATAAGCAGAAAAAAAGCTGAAGTGGTGCTGTGGCTCAAGTGGTAGAGCGCTCGCCCTGAGCTGAAGAGCTGAGGGACAGCGCCCAGGCCCAGAGTTCAGAATTAGTGACACTAATTCTCAACAAATCCACACCGTCTGGACCACACAAGTTCATTTCATTTGCTGCCCTGGACAACTGAGGCACAACATGTAGATCCTAAGTTTCCTGCCCTGTCTGTCCTGAGCCCACTAGGGGTGCTGGTTCAGTATCCCAGTTTATCCCCCCAATGAGGCAGGAGAAAAAGCTTTGGATTCTGGAAATCAGAAGACCTGCCAGCCCTGGGTCCCTGGCAGCCGGATCACTGTTGTCATGTTAGCAGGGATGTCATGGTCGTAATACTTCCATTCCCCCAGCTACAGGAGAGCAGGACATCGGCCAACCTTTTAGCTGTGGTGATTTCAGCTGAGGAAACCTACACCGTGAGTGGTTAGGAGACAGTCAAACCAGGCACCCTGGCATGAATCAGCTTGTGATCTTGTTGTTTTTCTTTTCATCTCTTCTCTCCGGTGGAAAACATAAAGAGGGTCTTGGGAAATCCACGGTTATTCATAAAGTGCCCCCAACCCAAGTGGCGTCCCCTTTCCACTCACTGTAGTTCTCGGCCAGGACAGGCACCAGACCGCACTGGCCTGCAATGTACACGTATCCTCCGTCCACGCTCATGGCGTCCGCCTCTCCATTCTGCAAAGACCCGGCAAATTACACTTCTGGTGTGTGTGTGTGTGAGAGAGAGAGAGAGAGAGAGACCTGCCCTAGAGCAACTGTTTCCTTCCATCTCTCCCGTTTCTCTGGGTCCTATTTCACAGTACATGAAGGGGGCTCCCACTTCTACCAGAACTGTAACCCCCATCTTCAGGAACCGCTCTAGTCACCGCAGGTTCCGTTGAGTCCCTGTCCATAGTGACCCAGCGGTGGTGTTCAGATTAGTCACTCTTCTGATGTTGGTCTTAGGGTTCGGACGCAACATCTGGCAGCCCTTTCCGACACGAAAGACTCAAATGCTGAAGTTAGCGTCGGAAGGCGTAACTCTTTTAAAAATGCTTCCAGCCGGGCGCCGATGGCTCACACCTGTCATCCTAGCTACTCAGGAGGCTGAGATCGGAGGATCACAGTTCAAAGCCAGCCCAGGTACCCCCAAGTCTGTGAGACTCTTAGCTCCAGTTAACTACCCCCTTCCAAAAAGAAACAAAAGCTGTGGCTCAAGTGGTAGAGCGCTCGCGCTGAGCTGAAGAGCTCAAGGACAGCGCCCAGGCCCAGAGTTCAGGCCCTACCCATGCTTCCCACGACCTTACACACCCCCAGTCTCCACCCCGCCTAGGATGTAGCTCCGATTGCTATTGGATGAGGAATCCGAGTCTTTGATGTGTTATCCTGCACATTGTGAGGTCCCGGATGCTACTACCCAAAGCACGGGGGTCAGGGAGGGAGGGCAGGAGTGACGTACCACAATCTTGGCGATACAGTCCTCGGGGGTCTCTGCCGACTCGCATTCTATCTCCCCTCCGCTGTTGACGCTCCACTGGTCACACTTGAGCCTCTCGTGGTGGCTGAGGGCACACCACTTCACGCTCTTGCACTCCTCCTGAGCCTCAGCCGGGCCTGGGACACGAGAGAAAGAACCTTCGCCGGGAGCCAGTGGCTCACGCCTTGTCATTCTAGCTACTTAGGAGGCTGAGGTCTGAGGATCACAGTTCAAAGCCAGGAAAGTCCATGAGACTCTGATGTCCAATGAACCACCAGCAAACCGGAGGTGGCGCTGTGGCTCAAGTGGTAGAGCGCTCGCCTTGAGCAGAAGAGCTGAGGGACAGCGCCCAGGCCCTGAGTTCAAGCCCCACGACCGACCAAAAAAAAAAAAGAAAAAAAAGAACCTTCGTGTAAATGCCAGGATTTTCCAGCGAGACATAAAGCAGTCTTGTTCAAGGAATTCATCACCTTAGAAAGCAAACTCCTAATTCTTTTTTGGTTTTTTGGTTTTTTTTTAGTCGTTTGTGGGTCTTGAACTCAGGGTCTGTGTGGGTGCTGTCCCCGAGCTGCTTTTGCTCCATAGTGCCACTTCTGGTTTCTGGCTGGCATTGTACGAGGCCCTGGGTTCGATTCCCAGCACAGTAAACACAAGTCTTTGGTGACGTGCGGGCCAATCGAGTGGGGCTAATTCCACGTAGCGTGGAGGATGCTTCTGGGGCTAGCAGGCAGGGCAGGGCAAAAAACAAGCAGGGGTGTCACCTGTTCCTAGGCTGCTGCTCAGGTGAGCTCCTGTTCCCTGCCCCCCCCCACCCCAGTACTTACATATGCCTTCCCGTTGGTTCCGAAGGGTGGTGATGTATTGATGACTCAGGTACAGCTTGTAGTCCATCCCCGGGGGAATCCGTAAGAAGCCCACAGCAGAGTCCTTGAACATGAGGTTCTTCCCGTGGGGAGAACTGAAGAGGTCGAAGTCCTTCGATTTGCCTTTGCCGAAATGTTCCTGCCCAGAGCAAAGCAGGGGGGTGGGGACCGTGAGCACCAGCAGGCAGGGCCCAGGCAGAGGAGGAAAGCTCTAGAAAGCAAGATGGACATCCCCTTCCCCACAGAGAGCCTCCGAGATGCTTTTTCGGGTGAGGTGGAGGGGGTTCGATGGAAGAGAATAGAATAACGCCATGATGGGACATCACTGAGCCCAAAGCCTGGGTGGTGGGGTGCTCTGGTGGGGAGACGGGCCCATCTCGGGGCGCCCAGAAAGCAGTGGCGGGAATACCTGGGCCTTGTTGAGGATCTCCCAGATCAGGTCCTCCTTGCCGTCCACGCTCCGGGCCACCACGGCGTGGGAGGGCACCCGGGCCAGGTAGCACTGCTCGTACTCGTCCACCGGCCTCCGGGTGTTGTCCGGACACAGCAGCTCATACTGGTCCCTGTCGGCCTTCTCGGGCAGGACCTCTGGGGGGAGGCAGAACACAGGCCGGCTGGCCACAGGCAGAGCCCCCCACGAGCGCACACCGGCCCCCTTCCCCACCCCCATCTGGCCATCTGGAGGGTGACACAAGGCCTGGTGGTGTTCCCAGAGGGCCAGGGAACTTTCTAGAAAAAGTCTCTGCCTGCAGTCATTCTCTTTCTGGGGAGGGGGAAAAAAAGTCTTTCTAGTTTTTTCCAGATATTTCTAGAAAAGGTCTTTTCCAGAACATGTGTCTGCAGTCAGATGAAGGTGTGAGGACTCCCCCCACGCATCCCGCCGCCCCGTGACTCACTCACACTCTGCCCTCCCCCTCCCCCCGCCCAGCCTAGCACAGTGAGGAAAGGCAGAAGGATGGAAGAGGCCCGGGAATCCATATCGCGAACCCCTAAAGTACCCACCCACCTCCAGACAGACAGAAAAACCTAAGCGATGGCCAAGAAGAAATGGTGCCCGGCTCTTGTCTGACCACCGGGCAGGAAAACCCAAACAAAACAATGCTCACGATGTAGAGTACACCCACCCACCAGAACCTTCCCCGGGGACTTACCAAATATGGTGGCGTGCTTGATAAAGGCCACATCTCCACCACCGTCCCTCAGACACCTGCGCGGGCGGGAGGAGCACATGAGGAGGCCCCCGCCTCCTGCGTCTGGAGGCCCATAGACCATTCTACCCAGAGTCTGGAGGTACAGCCTCATGGGAGGCTAACTCGTAGGGGACCACTGAGTGGAGGGGAGATGACCTCACAAGAAGACACTGAAGATGCTTCAGTGCATTACAAGTTCTTTTTTGGTGTGTGTGTGTGTGTGTTGTGTGTGTGTGTTTGTGCATGCATGTACCAGTGCACTGTTACTTGAACTCAGAGCCTGGGCGCTGTCCCTCAGCTCTTCAGCTCAAGGCTAGCGCTCTACCACTTGGGCCCCAGCCTTTTCTGCTCATGTGGTGCTAAGGAATCAAACCCAGGGCCTCACGCCTGCAAGGCAAGCAGTTCTACCACTGAGCCACCTTCCCAGCCCCACGTGGCGGGGAGTCTTGTACTCACTTGAAGGCACCGACGTAGCCAAAGTATGGGTTCTGGGAGGAGCAGCCACACCCTGGGCAGAGCTGACACAGTTTGGGGAAGGCAGCCGCATCTGCGCAGGGGACACAGCTACCCGAGAAGAAATTGGCCACTGCTGCTCAAGGCAAAGAAATGGACAAAGAAAGCATTAAGTAGGGGCTTGATCCAGCGACAGCCGAGTGCCATCTCCCAGCCAACCCTCTCCCCCCAAAACGTTCCAACCCTGGTCCCTCCACCGGTCTGGGTTTCCCACCAGTGGATGCTTGCCTCCGGCTGGCTGGCAACCCTCATGAGTCTGGGACCGCCACTGGGAGACCCGACCACCAGTTCGGCAGGGAGAACCTCTTGGAGAGGTTGCAGTACATGCTCATAGCCAGCAGATGGCAGCCAGAGGAGAGTAGCGCTGCCCAGCTCACCTTTCTCCAGGGGCTTCCGGGGCTCGGGTAAATCACAGTAGAGCCAGCCGATGGGAATGTTCCACCCCGCAGACCTGCCCAGCCCCGTGTGGCAGGACTTCTTGCCCTGGAGCTGGTTCATCTGGAAGTCAGTGCCTTTCTTCACCACGGCCACCGCGTAGTAGTCAGTTTGAGGCTCTGCCACGGGGAAGGGGGGAATGAGTGGAACCGGAAGCCGTGGAAACATCATGGGCACAGCCAGCCGGAGGCACCAGTGATCGCCGGTGCTTTGGCAACCCTGGCCCCTGGGGCATGTGTACCCGATGGCTGCCAACCCAAGGCCAGCAGGAAACAAGGTGGTGGGTTCGTATTCCCTGTGATACTTCCTGTCTCCTGTCCCTCTCTCCAGGGACGATCGGAGTAGGTTGACGCTCTGTCTGTCTGTCTGTCTCTCTCTCTGTGTCTCCCTCCCTCCCTCCTGGGGTTCCCAAGTATCTCCAGGGATCCTGGACATATCCTGAACCATACCAGATACACCAGCCCTTAACCAGCCCATAGCCCATAGAGGCCTTGATTTGTGCTAATCAGAGGTCCGGCAGGGTCTTTCCTGCCCCCTCCCTCTCCCCACCCCTTTCCTCCCACTCATGGCACCCATGCAGAGCTTACTCTCTGGTGATCCGTAGAACTCTGCCACGACAGGCTTCAGGTTGTTGGGAGCCAGGCCCGCTTCATAGACCAAACCACCATCTACCGTGGCCGCATCCGCTTCCTTCCCCTAGAAGAACAAGGAACAAGGCGGACGTCGAGGGAGCCTGGCTCTCAGGGAGTGACTTGGTGGGGGAGTCGGGGGTCACTTGGGGACAGAAGAAGGCCACCCTTTTGTCCCGGTACAGAGAAACCGATGGAATCTATTCTTTCCTGGTGAAGCATCTATGTGGATTGGCTCTCGATGATCGCCAAGAACTTGACCTGTTAGGCCCTCCTCATCCCACAGATAGTGTCCCGTGGCTTGTAATGGGATTGAAGATCAGGGTTTTCCTTCCTGTGTGTGTGTGTGTGTGTGTGTGTGTGTGTGTGTGTGTACATGTCAATCCTGGAGCTTGAACTCAGGTCCAGGGCAAGCTTTCTCTTAGCTTTTTTTCACCCAAGTCTGGTGCTCTACCTCTTGAGTCACACCAGCTCTTTGGAAAAGTCCCTTCCCCAGGCTGGGCTTTGAACCACGATCCTCACCTCCCAGCCTCCCGAGTAGCTAGGATGACAGGTGTGAGCCACCGCCGGTGGCCGAGCTCCCACCCGCTGTCTTTTTTTTTCAGCCGCAGTCGGCTTACCGAGATGGCCTTGATGCAGTCATGGCTGGAGGCTTTCTTCACGCAGGCGAGCTGGGGGCCGTCTGCCGGGAGGACGGTTTTCATGATGTCACGGAACGCGGCACACTTGCTGCCCTCATGGTCGGACACAGCGCACCACCGGACCGTCTTCTCCGGGATGGCAAGGCCCAGCCCTAGGAGAAAGCAGGCACAGGCCTCAGGGCTCCACTTCCCCCGCCCAGGCAGAGACAGTGCCACCCTCCTGTCCTTGCGTGGCTCAGATCTTTCTCCTCTCCTTCCTAACGATCCTGTTCCGCCCAGAGAGATGTGGGCAAGCCGGGTACCGGTGGCCCACGCCTGTCATCCTAGCTACTCAGGCGGCCGAGACCTGAGGATCACAGTTCAAAGCCAGCCCAGGCAGGAAAGTCCGTGAGACTCTTACCTCCAGCGAACCACTAGAAAACTGGAAGTGGCGCTGTGGCTCAAGTAGTAGAGCTGCTAGCTTTGAGCTGACGAGCCGAGGGACAGCGCCCAGGCCCAGAGTTCAACCCCCTCAACTGACAAAAGAGAGAGAGCGGGAGAGAGCACACCAGGCTCCGAGAATGAAGGCTTTCCAACCAAGGTGACCCTGCTTGTTCACGTCCAAGCCGGGCACACACATACCGCTCTCTTAGGCTCACGATCCACCAGCGAGGGCACAAAAATCAAGGTGACAGTTCCTTAGGGAGGCTCAAGAATTCGCCTGGGACACTCGCCAGCCATTATTCATCCCCCCTTGGAGACAAATACCCTAGAAGCTCCAGCTGTCCACCCATTCTTCCCTCTGTTTCCACCCAGCCCTTGCCGCGGCCCTGACAGTCCTTCAGAGAGGCCACGCGCATAGCCACTGAACTGCAGCGGTTCCTATGACCCAAGCTTGGGTGCCACCATCTTCCTCCCGGCCTCGGGCTGCCCAGGTGGCATTCACGTGCCCAACCTGGGACGGGCCACCCAGGCAGGCCCAAAGCACCATGGGTAAAGTCAGCCCTTCTCTGAGATGGGGAGAGAGAGACAGAGATAACCCCTGGCCCCTCCCCTCTCCATTCCACCTCAGCCAATGGAAACAGCGCCACCGAGGGCCAAGAGCCCCACCCCTCCCATCCTCAGCCCCGCCCGCCCGCCCGGGCCCTGCGTCTGTGAGCAAAGCAGCAGTCCAGCTCCAGGGCACCCTGGAAGTTGGGATGGTGGGGGTCAGGCGAGGAGCAGGTTCAGATCCTGAGGCAGGAAGAGTGCGTGGGGATAAACTTGGGGTTACCTGTAAGTGTTCTCGCTTTACCTTTTTTTGTTGCGTTTTGTTTCTATTTTTGGTAGCAAATGGGGTTGAAATTCAGGGTTCCACCCTTGCTGGGCAGGTGTTCTACCGCTTGGGCCATGCCTCCAGCCCCTTTTGATAGTGATTATTTGAGTTTTGTTGTTTTTTTTTTAAAGCCTGGCCCAATTTGATTTATTTTTGTTTTGGTCGGTCGTGGGGCTTGAACTCAGGGCCTGGGCGCTGTCCCTCGGCTCTTCAGCTCAAGGCCAGTGCTCTACCCCTTGAGCCACAGCACCACTTCCGGCTTTCTGAGGGGTTCATTGGAGATCAGAGTCTCATGGGCTTTCCTTGCCCGGGCTGGCTTTGAACCGCGATCCTCAGATCTCAGCCTGTCCCGAGTTGCTAGGTATGAGTACACTATGAGCCACCGGCACCCGGCTGCCAACTGGACCCTCATCCTCCTATTTCACGCTTCCCAGAACAGCTGGGACAGGCAGATGCACGCCACCGGTCAGTTTAGAACACGCTCTTTAGTGCAGCTCACGGCCATGAAGAGCATCACAGAGGCTGGAGCAGAGGCCCATTGGAGACCAGCAAAGCCCACAGACGGTGGGGGGGGGGGGGGGGACAGGCAGGAGAGGAGGAGAGAGCTGGAAGGGTCGGTGCCATCCATCCCGGGGCCCACAGCCACTCACCTAGGATAGCACTGGCCAGCAGGGCGCCCACCGCGAGCCTCATCCTCCCAGCCTGGCAAGGAGCCATAAGCACAGACCCACGGGCTTCTGCGCCCTGCCTGTGAGGCCCGCGCCCCTTTATCCCCGGCCCAGGCCAGCCAGGGGGGGTGGCAACCTTTGACCTCTCATGTTTGTGCAGCCCGATTACCCAATCACCCCTTTTGTCCATCCCTCCCCACCCCCTGCCTCCTTCACCCCAACAATCGTGGTTTCCAGCTCATTTCCTGAGCTCCGGGGGTGGAATCCAGCACACAAACACTCCCTCCCCCCCCCTCCCCCGGAGAAGGGAACAGAAGGAAAAATCCAGTCTTTGTCCTGGCGGCTCCTTGTGTGCCAGGAGTTACAGCAGTGGCTGTGGGAAGTACCCACGAAGTGACCTGTCTTCTCCCAGGACGTTGTTCTAGACAAAGGGCCGGCACACACATTAGAGCTTGCCTTTTATTTTAATTTCTTTAAGCAGGGGCTTCAACAGGGATCCTAGGACACACAGCCATCTCTGGTAAAAGGCCACTGATGGCCTAACCATACCCCCCATCTCTTCACAGGCCTGTGGTATGGAGCCAGGCTGGAGACGGTTCCCCCCCTCCCCGCCCCCCGCCCCTCACCCCACTAGCTCTGCCAGGAAGCCAGAAGGGCAGGCCCCGAATTCTAGACAGCTCAGTGCGGAGCGCCCATGGCGACGGCCTAGAATTCCGCCCGATGCCTTTCTGCAGAGGGACAGGCTAGCTTTGGAGGTGTGCCTGGTTATATGGGGTGTCCAGGTCTCTGTGTGTGTGTGGAAGGGGGATTGTAGAGGTAAGAGGTTGGCATCATGGGGTTCTGTATCTGTGATGGCCCCAGGACATTTGCACGGGGGGCGGGGGCTGCCTTAGGTGGTTTAATTCTATGTCTAAGAAACGTCTCAGGTATGGACACAGGCAGACCTGCTCCCTTCTGCCAGGAACGCCATGGGTACACTGAGTCAGACAGGCATGGGTGTCCGGCCCTGCCTTCGTGGACGGCACTTCCGGTCTGGTTGGCAGAAGGGCTGGTCAGTCTAGGACAGGACTTAGGGCCAGACCACAAAACCTGGAGCTGGCCCAGTTGTGCTCAACCGGAAGAACACACACACACACACACACACACACACGGCAGAGGCTTCTGCCCTATGCCACCTGGTTGTGAAGCACAATCTGATGATCTTGATCAACAGCCTGACAAGATGAAGTCAGTTTCGTATGGTTCAAAGCCAGCCCGGGCAGGAACGTCTGTGAGGCTCTGATCTCCAATAACCCACCAGAAAACCAGAAGTGGCACTATGGCTCAAGCGGTAGAGCGCTGGCTTTGAGCTGAAGAGCTGAGGGACAGCACCCAGGCCCAGAGTTCAAGCCCCACAACAGACAAAAGAAGGAAAATGACAGCTCCTTTTTTATCTGTGATCTTTGGGATCATAGCTTTCTTTAAAACAAAGGTCCTTCCTTCCTTCCTTCCTTCCTTATTCCTTCCTTCCTTCCTTTTTTCTTTCTTTTGAACTCAGGGCCTGGGTACTGTCCTTGAGCTTCTCTGTGCTCAAGGCTAACGCTCTACCACTTAAGCCACAGCATCACTTCCAGATTTTTCTGTGTCTGTGGTACTGAGGAATGGAACCCAGGGCTTCATGCATGCTAGGCAAGCACTCTACCACTGAGCCACCTTCCCAGCCCTTTTTCTTTTTTCTTTTTTTAATGCCAATTCCAGGACTTGAACCTGGGGAGCATGGCCACTGTCCCTGTGTTTTTTTTTTGTTTTTTGTTTTTTTTGGCTAGTCCTGGGTCTTGAACTCAGGGCCTGGGCACTCACTGTCCCTGAGCTTCTTTTTGCTTAAGGCTAGGACTCTACCACTTGAGCCACAGCGCCACTTCCGGCTTTTTCTGTGTATGTGGTACTGAGGACTCGAACCCAGGTCCTCATGCATGCTAGACCAGCACACATGTCCCTCCGCTTGAGGGGAAGACTTGGGGGGGGGGGCTTCCAGTCCCAGACCACCCCAAACATCCTCCAGATCTTCCCAGCACAGACACGGAATGGAATCCTCCCGATCCAGCCCAGAGTTGGCGCCACCCCTTAGCCACAGCAGAGCCCGTGTGTACGTGCAGCGGAGAGAAGCGGGGGGCGGGAGGGGGGGGCAGGAAGGCAGAGAGCCTCTGAACCAATATTTGCGATTTCCAAATGTGACCCAATTTACATAGGAGCAGAGCAAACAAAGAGCCTGTCTGTCTGCATGTCCCCTCCCGCCCCATCTCTACCATTTCACCCCCGCAGCGCCCACTGTCCAACATCAGAGCCTTCTATGAAAGCCTGGGTCTGTGATCTGAAGAGCAGCCTGATACTCATGAGGCCAGTTCCTCTGCGGGTCTGGGAGCAGGGGGAGGTGGGGGGGGGGGGGGGAGGAGATAGAAGGGAAATCGGTGGCCATTTTGATATGTCACATGACCACATGCCCCAGACCCAGCAGGTGCACCTGGGACGGTTCCGTCACACCCTCGAGCCCAAGGGGCTGGGAAAGTGGCTCAAGTGGTAGAGCGCTGGCCTAGCAGGCACGAAGCCCTGGGTTCAATTCCTCAGTAGATACCACATAACACAGCAAAAGCCAGAAGCGGTGCCGTGGTTCAAGTGGTAGAGCACTAGCCTGGAGCACAAGAAGCTCAGGGACAGTACAAAGGCCCTGAGTTCAAGCCCCAGGACTGGCAAGAAATAAATAGCCAGGCGCGCCGGCGGCTCATGCCTGTCATCCTAGCTACTCAGGAGGCTGAGATCTGAGGATCGTGGTTCAAAGCCAGCCTGGGCAGGAAAGTCTGTGAGACTCTAATCTCCAAGTAACCCACCAGAAAACCGAAATGGCACTGTGGTTCAAGTGGTAGAGCGCCCAGAGTTCAAGCCCCGTAACCAAAACTCAGGGACCATACCCAAATTCTGAGTTCAAGCCCCAGGACACACACACACACACACACACACACACACACACACACAGAATATAAGAACAATTTAGGGAGCTTGCTTAGCTTGCAAGAACTCTCCATTCCTAACACTGGAAAAAAAAAAAAAGAACTTTACTGAATGATGTTATCTTTCACACCTATCAAAATTAACAATTATTCCCCCAGTCAGTAGAGTAATTTCTCTATTGGTCTCAAAAAGAAAAAAAAAATATTAGGTACTCCAAGTGGATTCTGGGGGTTGCTCAGTTGGTAGAGGGCTAGCCAGTGAGCAAAACGCATTAGGTACCAAGTTCAAATCCTAGTCTCGGGCCAGAAAGGGCAAGCAACCAAAGGGATTCTGATACAGGTATGCCATTGGTCACAGCTCTGGGGTAGCCTATGAGAAGGTCCCAGCACGCTTATCACAAGCTAGCTAGCTTATCGGAGAAATGAGACCTTTGCCCTCTGGAATTTCCAGAGCTCTGGAAATTGGCTCACCTGTGTGTTCCTGGTGTGACTTTAACACACCATCCCTGTGTTCAGCGGCAGTGTCAAGGACACAGCCTTCACCCGGGGTTTTCTGGAATTACCTCATGCAGTCTGACTTGTCACAGATCGAAGCAGGTGCTCTACCACTCGAGCCACACCCCAGCCCTGGTTTTCCCATTTAATTAATTTATCTTTTGTCGGTTGTGGGGCTTGAACTCAGGGCCTGGGCACTGTGTCCCCAGGCTTCTCTTTGCTCAAGGCTAGCACTCTGCCACGTGAGCCACAGCGCCACTTCCGGCTTTTTTCTGTATATGTGGTACTGAGGAATCGAACCCGGGGCTTCATGCGTGCAAGGCGAGCGCTCTACCGCTGAGCCACCTCCCCAGCCCCCGGATGTATCTCTTCTGTGTTCATATCTGTGTAGCCTCACAGGCTTCTGTCCTGTTATGTGGGTGACTCTCTATTATTGTACCGGTCCCCGTGGATGCTCAGATAGTTTCCGGCTTGGCTGGTGGGATCTTTTTCACACCAGGCCCCTGTGCACTTGGCACAAGCACCTGACATGAGGAGGTCCAGAATAAGACATTCGTGCCTAACCTGTATTTTCCCTGTGCCAACCCCATAGACTATTTCTGGAACCTCCCAGTCTAGACTGATCCCCACGCACACCATGCCCCCCGACCAGGGGAGAAAGGTATCTAGAACCATAATCCTGAGCGTGTAATGTGAGAGAGTCACTGAGACTAGAACATGCTAGAACATCCTAGAACAGGTGGACTAGAACTCTAGGGTCTGCGCGTATGTGTGCAAGCCTCCATGCAGCTCCGTGTATATACACACACATTACCTATTTCCTTCTCTGTTTCTCTCCTGCGGCCGTCTCCCCCCTTTTCCTCCCCAGCAACCATCCATCATTCACACTCTCTCTTCCACCTCCCACTATCCACACCGTATCCGGTGGCCATTTTTCTCCCTCCCTGGGTTAGGCAGGTGTGGCCTTCCTTTCCTGTCATCTGCTCGGCCTTTCCTCGGTGGTAGTGAGCAGGGAAGAAGCCCCAAAGCCAGAGGTCCCCATTCGTTCTACAAGCCAGGGCCTTGCTAAGAACTCCTGAGCTCACCAGAGCCCCGTTCAGGCAGCCGTCCCTGACCCATCCATCAGCCGGCAGCCAGGGGAGGCCACTGACCCCCCCCTGGGCCAGTGGACTCTGCGAAGTCCCGCGCCCGTGAGTGTGGGGAAAGGCACAAAAGTCCCCAGCCAGAGGCCAGCTCCCAGGAGCCGGCCCTGCCTGGCGTGCTGATTTCCATTGGTTTATTGGAGACAAGAGTCTCACGGACTTTCCTGCCTGGGCTGGCTTTGAACCATGATCCTCAGATCTCAGCCTCCTGAGTAGCTAGGATGACAGGCGTGAGCCCCTGGCACTCGGTTTACTTTCAGTCTTTATTTTTTATTTTGTCTGGTACTGGGGCTTGAACTCAGAGCTTGAGCACTGTCCCTTAGCTCTTCCACACAAGGCTGGAGCTCTACCACTCGAGCCATAGCTCCGCTTAGGGCTTTCTGGTGGTTCCTAGGAGATAAAGAATCTCAAAGACCTTTCCCACCCAGTCTAGCCTTGACCTGCGATCCTCAGCTCTCAGCCTCCTGAGTAGCGAGGATG